CGATTTTTCAGCCAGATATTGAGATTTTTTTTGTTAAGTTTAGCTAAATTTCAATATTCACTGCTGGTCTATTTTTGACTTTCAAAATAAAACACCCTCCCGATCTCATATCAACAATAGATCACAGTTAAAACAGACAAAAAAAGACACAATTTCACTACATAGCCTACTTAACCATGGTAGAAGCACAAAAATCAAGGACAGTACAACAACATCAACAAAATCTGAAGAAGTCAGCAAAATCAGACCGGTACAACGCTCTTATTCTGAAATGCTCCATGTGGGACTTGTAGCCTGCACAGAGTGGAGCTGAACGGGCTCACAGAGAGCTGTTATCCGATAGTTGAAGCACAGAAAATGTCAAATTAACACATCAGCTAAAAGCTCCCCTGCTAGAACACTTCAGTGTGAGTTAACATCGGACAAAACCGCTGTACAGCCGCTGCCTCTGTCTGTTCATTTGATGCCATTATCCCACGTTTTCCTCTGATTTCGTTTGTTGTTGTAAAATGTACACGCCCTGTGCCCGCTCGGATTGGTGAGTAGGAGTAACAGGAGAGGTATGGCTCTTGTGATTGGCGAGCAGATCTGTCACACAAGGATAACAACGGAATAAATTTTTAACTGCACGACTGTTAAAATGGGTAAAATGCGTTGTTTAATCTACATTTTAATCGCCATCTTCACGATTAGCTAATCGCGTTCTTTCTTGCTGCTTCACAAACTGTTCCCAGATCAAATAAACGTTCGACCAGGCTAGTCATATTCTTGTGCTGCGGAAGGGTAACTCCCTTTGGTTTCCCTTTTTAGAGCTACAGAAGTCATGCAGGTCAATAACTTCCCAGAGGCTGAATGGCCTCAATTTACTCTCAGTCAATTCTAATTCAAGATTTGAAGTGATTGCACAAACTGCACTTGGAAGGATATTGTCAACATTATGTCTGGATTTACTAATTTCTTTTATATTAGAATATTACCACAGTTTCTTGTCAGTAATCAGTCAAGCAGGGTAGTATTTATTGCAGTCTCTTGAAATTTCTGTTTAAGCACAGCATCTTTAATTTCAAAGATTTTCTCACACATGGTTAAAAATAAACTGTTTTAGAGGCAGAACATGAGAATCAGATTTAATGTAATGTCCAGCACGTTTCCTTTCAGCAAAGAGAAAAATCCTAACCTGTTTAAACAGAGTCAAGGTGGATTTAAATAACCTATAGGGGAGACGGGTATGGTTTTAACATGGGGAGAGTTGTAACACCACCAAATAGAGATAAGATAGAAGTTAGGTGATCATATCAGTATTTACCTACTTCCTCCCTAATCAGGCATGGTGGTTATCAAGTCTGGAAAGAGGTGCATTTAGAATACATATAGAAAAAACAAATTTTGAGGTAAGAAAGTAAAGTTTTTGACCAAGACAATTTTTGTTTAGTATCTCTACTATTGCAGATAGAATTGTTTGACTTAATTTAATTGTAGTTTCTCAGGCAACATGTGATGCATCCCCCCCCCCCTTCTAATTTCAAACCACTATAGTAATACAGCTAGCTAAACATTGGCTGACAGGAGTGGGGTGGTTGTAACACTTTAAAAAACTGTTACAACCATCCACGATACATAAAACTAGGTACTTTCTTGATTTTAATATTTTCCATGTAGCCCTATGCAGTCTGGGCCCACCAAACCCACACTTCAGGGTTACCAGCACTGTGACCAGTACTCCCCATTCACATGTTGGTGTGTGTATCGCCACTTGACCTTTTCCATACTCGGTCTCCACCATTTGGAGAGGGTAGAAAAGTGTATGGGCAGCTTGTGAGAAGTGCCTATGCGCAAGAAAAAGTCCCGGTACGCCAAAGAGTAAAATATAGAAGTGCTGGTATACGTACCGGTGAATATCGGACCACTTCAAGCCCTGACTGTGACTCTGAATAAGAATACACACACACATACACACACACACTCACCCCCCCCCCCCTTTTTAGTTAGACCTAAGGCTGTACAGTGATGTTCTTTAATGCATACTACTAAAATGTAATTAAGTATACTTTTAAGTTTATTCTATAGATAAATTTACATAGATACTGTACATGCTTGTGAGTCAGACAAGCAAGAGAAAAACATTGTTCTTTTATTTAGCTACCGTTTTGGAAGCATATCATGTAGTGTGGCATCTATTTTTGATTCTTTTGTGTGATTGTTACAACCTACCCAGCATCGTAGGGAACACAATGCATTTAACATCGAGTGACAAGGTCTGTGATATTCTTGTAGAGGATTTAATTGTTGCCATTTGTAGTAACCAAATGTGGGTACTTTGTATAAAAATTTCAGAACTTTAGCTAACAAGTTCATTGAGTTATTGTTACTGAAGCAAAAGTCTTTTGCAACCACACCCGGTCTCCCCTACATACAGTGGTTACGAAAGTATTCAGACCCCTTTAAATTTCTCACTTTGTTTTCATTGCAGCCATTTTCCAAAAATCAAAAAAGTTCATTTTATTTCTCATTAATGTACACTCAGCACCCCATCTTGACAGAAAAACAAATGTAGAAATCACATTTTTATAAGTATTCAGACCATTTGCTCAGTATTGAGTAGAAGCACCTTTTTGAGCTAGTACAGCCATGAGTCTTCTTGGGAATGATGCAAAAACGTTTTTCACACCTGCATTTGGGGATCCTCTGCCATTCTTCCTTGCAGATCCTCTCCAGTTCCGTCAGGTTGGATGGTGAACGTTGGTGGACAGCCATTTTCAGGTCTCACCAGAGATGCTCAATTGGGTTTAGGTCAGGGCTCTGGCTGGACCAGTTAAGAATGGTCAGAGTTGTTCCGAAGCCACTCCTTTGTTATTTTAGCGGTGTGCTTAGGGTCATTGTCTTGTTGGAAGGTGAACCTTCGGCCCAGTCTGAGGTCCTGAGCACTCTGGATGAGGTTTTCTTCCAGGATATCTCTGTACTTGGCCGCATTCATCTTTCCTTCAATTGCAACCAGTCGTCCAGTCCCTGCAGCTGAAAAACACCCCCATAGCATGATGCTGCCACCACCATGTTTCACTGCTGGGATTGTATTGGGCAGGTGATGAGCAGTGCCTGGTTTTCTCCACTCTTCACCAGCTCTAGGAAGAATTCTGGTCGTCCCAAACTTCTTCCATTTGAGGATTATGGAGGCCACTGTGCTCTTAGGAACCTTAAGTGCTGCAGAAATTGTTTTGTAACCTTCACCAGATCTGTGCCTTGCCACAATTCTGTCTCTGAGCTCTTCAGGCAGTTCCTTTGACCTCATGATTCTCATTTGCTCTGACATACACTGTGAGCTGTAAGGTCTTATATAGACAGGTGTGTGGCTTTCCTAATCAAGTCCAATCAGTTTAATTACACAAAGCAGGACTCCAATGAAGGTGTAGAACCATCTCAAGGAGGATCAGAAGAAATAGACAGCATGTGAGTTAAATATGAGTGTCACAGCAAAGGGTCTGAATACTTATGACCATGTGATATTTTAGTTTTTCTTTTTTAATAAATTTGCAAAAAATTCTACATTTCTGTTTTTTTATGTCAAGATGGGGTGCTGAGTATACATTAATAAGAAATAAAATGAACTTTTTAGATTTTTGGAAAATGGCTGCAATGAAACAAAGAGTGAAAAATTTAAAGGGGTCTGAATACTTTCTGTATCCACTGTATACAGGTGCTAACAAAATTGACTATCTAGGAAAAGTGCATGGTTAGCACCAATACCTCACTGAGAAATTAAAGGCTCAGGAAACCTCGGCAGGTGTATTGAGTTAATGAGAGGAGCTGATTAGAGCTCTTCTCAGGTCAACATTTCTGTATTATTTAAAAGTCAAATAGCTTTGAGATACTGGAGTTTTGATTTCCATTAGCTGTAAGTCGTAATTATCAAGATTAAAACAAAAAAAGGCTTTATGTGTGTAAGCAATGTAGAATATTTAAACGTTTCACTTTTTGAATTACAGAAGAAACATTTTTTTTTACGATATTAAAATGTTTCGAGATGCACCTGTAGATTGACATAAAGTGAAATAGTTTATACATATCAAGTCCTTGTTTGCAAGAGAAATACAGAAGCTTTACTGGTTCTGGCTCAGAGTGGGTGGTATGCTGTCATTTAGCATGTTGTATTGAGGACATGCATTATGGATCTGGGTTTCAATTCCCCATCAACATTTGGGATCACATCCTCTTCCTCATCCCCTTTGCTTTGCTTAGCACTTTTCCATAACTCTAGGAACATGAGAATATTACACTCAGGCACCTGATCATTTTAAGTCAGCTAAGATCGTCTTAGTGCTAAAGAGTAAGCCCACATTATATTTTGGAAAGAGACAACTTTTAAAAGTACTTTTGAGAGATTGGTCCAACTATGTTGAGTTCAAATCAGTCAATCAGTGTGAACTGTTTGAAAGAATAGCAGGTGAAAGTACATTTTGCTGCTGCTGCCTAGTGTTTGTTTTGTCAATGAATCATGACTGGAATCAGCATGGTTATGATGACTCACACCAGCACAGCTCTTAGGGCTGCATTCAACCACAGTTCTAATCAAATCACTGCTACTGTTGCTTCCAACTTCACTGTGTTTTTTGTCTTTGTCTGTTTCCAGTTTAATTGTGATGATTTGAAACTATATACTGCATATTGTTGAAGCATTACTCTACAATATCTACAGTAACAGTAAAATAGTCTTTTATATTTTATATTCTCTATTGCATAACAGCATGAGGTTAACATAACAACAGTGACTCCATGTTGTTTATCAAGTGGTTATCTGTCCTTTAGATGTCCATGCTGTCACAACCTTGGGGTTGTAATCACTCTTCAGTCTGTGTTGCAACAGTTGTCCCACAAACAGATGAACAAAGTTCGCAAGACTGAGCAGATTTGTTGGCCAACACACCCAACTACCACCACCGAATGCAAACAAAAGTAAATGGACACTTGTTCCTTTCTGTCAGTTTGTTGTAGTGAAGTCAAACATTGCCCAAATTTGTTCAGTTAGAGAAGTCCCATTTCCCAACAGTCTGATTTCTGCTATACAAGCACTTTCTACAACACTGCCTTAGATCTCAGTTTACAACATATCAATTTGTCAAATCAATCCTAAGTATATATCTTACAAACAGCCTTGCCCGTTTCTGGCTATAGACGGGCCAAAACAGACACAAAGTTTAAATAATAAAAAACGATGGCCACAACAGTTCCTTTAGTTTGGCATGGCGGACAGCTCTACATACTACGATTACCCATGACCCTCAACTTGTTGGCCATTGCTATGGAGAAGAAGCCAGTCATATCATAGTAGTAGAAGTAGAAATATATTTATCCACAATTCAGATGTACTTTAATTCACATGCAGACTGTTTTCTCAAGACCATAAAGTTTTGGCTTCCTCCCACCATTTGCAGAGCATGTAACATAATTTTAGCTCTGTGACTGGATGTTTCTAGCAGAAATGCACATTGGGAGTTAATTTCTCTCTGAAGTTTATACAAGCTTGTACCTTCAATTTTTAATCAATGAAAAAAACATTTAAAATCTCTGATTCATGTCTACCCAAGCTGGAGAAGTGTTCCAACTAGGAGTCACACAATGTTGTCTATGGGAAAAATGTATCAGACTTCCAGAATCAAGGGTGCCCATAATAGCTCCTCCAACTTTCCAACTCTATTTACTATTAACTGGGTACATGTATCTGTAAAAAAAAAAGATAGTCCACAACTATAAACGTGTGTATTGTGGAACGTCTCTCAGTTTACCACTTGTAGTATTGGATACTGGACGTAATTTACATTATGCAAGGAACTTGGAAAAATGAGAAAATAAAGCCTTGCTATTTTTGGTTAGCTTTCTACAAGCATGCGTCTATATTTGTTGATGGAGAAAGAAAAGGCAGTCAGGCAGTGACAGAAAAGGCAGTGCCAGGTACTGATGGTCAGTGGAATTTTAATAAGACCACTGCACTGGCTCAACACAATGCAACATCATCCAGCTGCGCACTGCATTGGCCAATCAAATATGTGCATACAGTCATTCCAAGTTGATTACTTTATACTGTTACTTTCTGATGATAACCATGGAAATTTCTGACTTGAACTTGAATTCTCTTGAAAAGAGTATCACAAATGCATTATTAATTGTGGTGAAGCTCTAGACTGTCCTGTGTCGGGGTGGAACAGGTTCAGCATGTCCTTCACGCGGTATCGGGGACACTCCTTTCGGAAATAGCGAGTGTAGATCGGAAGTTGATATAGGGATGCCAGTCCTTGATGTGCTGGCTTCATTTGCTTACAATAGTAGAACTAAACCCATGCAAAAACATGGTACTTAAATTGCTATATGTACATAACTGCAATTTGAATCTTCATGTTCAAGTATTAAAGTCAGTGTTGGTAGCCTCACTGTTAGAAAAGCAGATGTGGATCTAAAAATGCACTGTATCAACACTACAGTCTTGGCAGGGGCAATCTCTTTTCCTCTTTTCTTTTAAGTTTCCTGGCAGGAAGCCGTATTTCCATTAGTTGTTATCTGCAATTAAGTGCAGAGTAAGTAAATTACCAGGTGTGTGTGTGTGTGTGTGTGTGTGTGTGTGTGGGAAGGGGGGGACAGTTATGATGAGGTGCTGTAATGTGAATTATTAAAGATGACAAGCTGCTTGTAGCCACAAATGGTATACAGTCTTTTTAAAAGTGTGTTGTAGGATAAGTTAAAACTGAAGTAAAAGCAAAATATTGTGTGTCATCCAAACCTTGGTAAACAAAACCACAAAACAACAACATAGGCCTGCAGTCACGAGGGAAATCACTTTCCCGACATTTCTCTCCCCCGTGTAACTTAGTCAGTTCCGTTCACCTCATCCACCCATGTGTTACTCCCCCATCTCTGTTCATGCCACTGGGGTGCTAAACCGGTTGAGCGCTTCCCACGCTCCTCTCCGCCCAGGCTTGTCCCAGAGTCAAACTATGCTGCCTAACTGCAGCCAAGACTCTGGATCATTTAATAACAGACGCAGGAGCTGAAATCTGTGTGTACTAAAAGAAAGACCCGACTCCATTGAGATGAATAACGCTTAGTTTCTCATGGATTATCCTTCTCAGTGTTTCTTGGCCCCTACACCAAACAAGGTAAAACATTTGTCAACATTATCAAATTTTATATTACACTGAATGTAAAATGAAATGACAAGACTATCAAATGATTAGTTAAGAAAAATTTAACAAAAATTGCTGGTTCCAGCTGCTGTAAAGTTAGGGTTTGATGGTTTTCCTTGGTTTATATCATTCTGACTTAAAATAACAGGCCTTTTGGCCCTAACTACTAAAGAAATCCACAATTCAGTCTTGTTCGTGAACTTTTCACAAAGTGTTCTGATAATCGATCTGTATAGGCAAAAAATCAAAGTGGTTAAATATGGCCATTCACTCCGCTTGCTTTCTCAAGATTTGCCCAGAATCTTGTTTGGGACTTAAACAGCCAAGTTTTAAACTCATGTTTAGCTGCCTTTATATTGTCCTTTGGTACCAGAAGTAGGTTTAGGTATCTTACTTTAAATGTTACAAGTAACATAGCAAAAATGTCAAAGGATGCTTTGCCCTTATCAGAAGAGCACAAGGTTGGCACTCAAGATACCAAAATAAGCAGGCTGCAAATATACCTTGACCTACCTAATATACTTAGACCGCTGTGCCTCCTGAGCCATGTGGCTGGCCTACTGGTTTCATCCCCGGCTCATACAAAGAGAGTGATTAAGCAAGACACTGAACTCCTAACTGCTCCTGAAACAAACACTGATGACTAGGCTGGCATGCAAGGAGCCAGCCTAGTCATCAGTGCACTTTGACTGGTCAATAGACTAGAAAAGCGCTATATAAATGCAGTCTATTTACCATATTCATTTAAACATTGTTTATCAGACTAAAACAACACTGACATCAAAACGTCATATTTGTGGTGAAACAACAGTGTTACTGTGACTGGTGGTACTAACACTGGATCCACCCATTAAAAAGTGAATGTAACTGGACTTGAGACCAAGAGTAACTTAAAAACCAAAAAACACCTAGAAATATAACCAAATTGCTATGGCAGAGCTGGTTGGAACCAGTACAGTAATGGTAGTAGCTGTACATGCTTGAGACAAAAACGTCACCAATGCCCCCCGAGAGGCTTAATAGATTTACAAGCAAAGCTGAGTAAGAATGTTCCCTTAGAGTTAAGCAGTGTTCAAGAATGCTGAGCCACTTCCAAAGCATTACGCAGCATGTTGTCAGATGTTTCTACATAAATGACTCCTAAAATACCAGACCGTTGCTCATCAATGTCTGTGGGACAGAGGTAGGAGGGCAGGGAGGGGGTAGGAAAACCGGAGAGAGGAAAAGACAGATGTACTTTTAAAAATATTGGGTGGGATAAGGTTTGGCTTAAACTTATTGCTGTTATTGCCGCTTTAAGGATCTTGACCTGTCTGTGTCACTGTACAGACATGTTCCAGTAAGTCAGCAGTTTGCAATGATTTCATGCTGTTATTGTAGTTTTGAGCCTGGCTTAATTATCAACTGTTGTTTATATGTGTGTTTTTCAGCCATGGGCCTGCGTTCAACACTGGGAAGTCTCCTGTTTTTCTTTGGGCTATATGGAATCTCAACGGGATTTGTACAGGGTGAGCTAAGTCACGTTTCTTTAATGAAAGAACTACATAAATACTACTAGTGCTCTGAAATTGTTTAGAACTGACAGAGAAATTATTGAGGGTATTTGTAGGATTTTATCGTCATCTTGTGGCCACTCATGGAACTGCAACTGTTTATCAGTCCTCTGTTTCTGAAAGGTGTGAGATCTTCAGAAGTCTTACCCTGATTTCAGATTATTCATGAAAAAAAAAAGCAAAGACTGACAGGCTGTTTTTGTGATCGCACTGTGGAGCCACTGTTGAGTTCAATTATGCAAAATATCATGCAGTCAATAAAGCAAACTACAGACCAGAAGGAAGGTCGCTGGCTCTAATCCTGGACAGTCAAGGAACAAACACATACATTACAGATAGATTGCACACCATTTAGTGCTAAAGTGGCTCAGCTTGGATTAGAAGTAACCCTTCAAGATGCCACAATTTTGTTCAGAACTCTATTAGTGTTGAACAGCTGAATACATGACAAATCCATTCTCGTGTGTGTTGCAGAAAACTGTACCAACTACAAGGTCCAGTTTGAGAGGGTTTACTCTGTTCCTGGGGATATGGCTATGCTGAATAGCACCCTGGTGTCTCCAGATGTCTTCAGCTTCACAACTGTCCCTTACAACATCACCTGGTATGACTCAAAGACGGGCCGAGAAATGAGCAACCAGACCGGTCGAATCCTGGTTTACGGGGAGACTCTGTGGTTTCTTAACATGACACTGGACGATGACGGGGAATATGTGAGCATACTGAGGTACTATATTTAAATCTGAATGTTGCTAGAAATAATATTACAGCAGGATAAACAGTATGAGCCATGTGATCGAATGTATTTAAAACGGTCAACGGATGCTGAAATATATCTTAAACATACAGGCTTAACATTCGAGCTGATTATTAGTCAATCAATCAATGATACGTCATGTTTCAGATACTGTGCATCCTGTCTGTCCTCAGAATCAGCACCTGTCAGACATAAACCAGTGCTAATTCTGCATGTTTACATACGCCCCTGAGGCTACATCATTGCACCTACTGTAGGGATGTACACTCTTACTGTGCGCTGTGTACCTTTTTTTACATTTAGTAATTTGTTTTTATTTCATGCCATTATTGTACCATTCATTTGTTATGGCCAGTTATGTTCAGCAGTTCCACTAAACTTCAAGCTGAGATGAAGGCACAGAGTCAAACCAAATATACATGTTCATTCTTCAAATTTAAAGAATAATGCTTCCACATGCACAAACTGTCAGAGATTATTCAAAAAAGGCCAGTTGGCATATTTCCACTGTATATTCTTGAAGATGAACAAAATTATAACAACAACAATAATAATAATAATAATAATCTATTATCATTAATAATACATTTTCTTTTTCAATTTCAACAGAACTCCCTCTCGCTGCTACAGGCAGGCCACCAAGCTGGTAGTGGAACTGCCAATTGCTGGAGAGTGTGGTAGGCCAAGGAAAGCTATTCAAACACTTATGAGGGGAGTCACTGACAGCCTGTCCTGCCCTCTGAAGGACTACATCAATAAACTGAACAGCTACAACATCACTTCCTCCATCAAGTGGTACAGAGTGAGTTATGGGAAAGTCTTGTTGAGCTCAATAAGCACCAATATAAAATATTCACAAACTTATTGAGGGTACTCCAACTGTTGTAGAGTAGTTTTGCTGGGCCAGATCTATACAGACAATCTGGGGGAAACTCTGTGAACTCTTTGGACCAATACACTATACACAACATGAATGAATGCAATTTGGAAGTCTTAAAGTAAGCAAAATCCTGCACTATATGCAGTAGATGTAACACTGGATAAAAAGTAAATATGAAAATATTACTATGAAAATCTGATGTAGTATCAGAATCAAGTGACCTAAATACAAATGTAAATTCATTTTACAATGCTTTTTCAACTATATAGCTCTCTTTATATTGGAAACTTCCTTTAGTTTGGCTTTCAGTAGGTGGTGTTTTATCTGTTCAGCATGGTGGCCATCCCTACTCATGACATCTACCTACTTCTTCTGTCGATTACCGATGAATGGATTTTTTTTTTTTTTTTACATCAATCAGTGTTCCTGCAACGGGACCTCGTGAGAGGTGTTGTAGTAGATAGGGAAAGTTTAACGTCTTTCCCTATAATTGTAAAGCAGTCAGTTTGAATTGGATTTGGCGCTATTCACAGAGAAAGTCTGGGTATTTTGTTAAAAGAAATGGGATCCATCGGGCTCTAGACCCCCAACTCTACTCACCAGGGTATTCCTTTAACCATGTGGCTGGCTACCCTTATAAAAAAGTAGGGTTTTTTTTATATATATATATACTGTCATGATAAAAAGCCTGACTTTTAAGTTTCCTTTACTCAGGGTTGTGACCCCATTGTTGATGGGACAGGCAAGTATACCTACTGGGATACAACCCACCTGAAGATTGATGGGGTGGAACCTCAAAACAACAGCCTCTACACCTGTACCTTGACCTTCACTCTCGGAGGCATCACAGGATCCGTGTCAGAGACCATTGACGCATGGGTTAGAGGTGAGAACAAAGATAATCCCTTGACTGTGTCTGAGGGGAACTTGTGTTAACACCTCCAGTGGAATACACTTCACTTTTCAAAATCACCAACATTATTTTCTAAATCACCAACATTACAACCTTAACCCTAACTACAGCAAAGGTTACAGCAGGGTGACAAGAGGTTGAAATTACTTCCATGACCCTAAACTTATTACAAACAAGAGTGGGAAGAACTGCAAAGACAGCTAGTAACTATTTGGTATTTTGTGATTAGACAACCTCAACCTCTGTTTCTGCATTTTTTACTTTTCAGTGGAGTATTATTTGGTTCCAGAAGTGCATGAACCAGCCAATGAAATCTTCAAGGCACAGATAGGTGAGTCCCTCTCTGCAATATATTCTGACAGATATTGTGTTCTGCAGTTTAAATACATTGTTGAAACTGACTCAGGCTTCGTTCAGACCAACATTTGCCTTGTGTCAAAAAACACAGCCTACTCCTATTCATTTTAGTGACACCACTTTTTTGGCACTGATGAGGGAGTAAATGCAAGTGCACATTTCAGGTAGAATCCTTTGTAACATAAATTGCGGTTTTCTACTGTTAAAGCTGGGGTAGGCAAGGTTGGAGAAACTAGCAAGAGACAACTAACTCATCGCTACCCTTTAAATGCCTTAAACCTGCATTCTTTCCAGCCCGGGGCATCTTCATTGGTTCCAAACAGAAGTCTGTTTGCATTGGGGTCAATGACAAAATGACAATACTTCTCAATATAAAATAATTATGTAAATAGTAATTTAACTTATTGTTTTCCTAAACCTGACCAAGTAATAACTTAAAAGTGTAAAAGTCGTGTTATTTGTATGTACATTGATGAGACTGGGTAGCATGAGGGACTTTGAGACAGGGAAGATAGCGGTTGCATGTGATGTGCTATCAGCGGCCACAGTCCATTCTTTGTGAATTCATCCCTCATTGTCTTACAAACCACTGTGTAGCGCTTGATAAATCTTTCAAACTCATGGTTGTTTTATTTAAAATTGTCAAATTTCATCTTTTCACTGCCATCTGTAACACAGACACAATGCTATTTTTGGTCTGAACACCTGCCAGGGTCTGAAGCCCTTTATGGGCATACATCTGTGTATTAGTCTGTGTGAGAAACATTTAGAAATATTTAGAAATTTTAAATTTAGGTTTATAAATTGAGATACTGTTTTGTTCAGTATAATTTATTATTGTTTGTGAATGTGTTTAGGGTCCAATTTCAGCAAGCAGTGCCGAGTGTTTGTGCCATCTGTTGGGAGCCCTTCAGTTGATATCTTTTGGTTGGTCAGAGGCGTTTTGATTTTCAATACCAACCCCTCTGAACGTGTCTACACGTCAAATAAACGGTCAGAACACTTAACTTTCCCTTTGTTTGTTTTAACTGCTGCTTTTGGGGTATGACAAGACAAAAATGTTTACAAGGTGTCTGTGTTCAAATAAATCAGACAAAATCACAGCTTTCTTGGGATATAATTATAAGCCCCCCAACATTGTAAAGTAGTAATTCTACTTCGATTTGTTGTTTGAGTTTTTATTTCTTCAATACCATGTGGAGAATTTCTAAAGTGAGCATAGATGTGTTTTTAAACATATATCAAGATAGTTGTTATAAAGTGTGAATTCTTTATTTTAATATTTTTCAGATTACATGTATTTGTTTGATTAAAGAATGAGACTAGCACAACAAGAACTAAAAGGTAGAAGGTAGAATATTTATAAAATATAAATTATTAAAGAGGCCATATTATGCTTTTTGTTTTTTATTTTTCCTTTATTATGTTATCTCTTTTTTGTGCATGTAATATGTTTGCAAAGTGAAAAAGCCCAGCCCATAGGGAGTTATGACCTCCCACAGAAAGGTGGTCTGAACGGTCTTAAAACAGGTCGTTTAGTCCAGCCTTGTTTTCCGTTACCTTGTTATGTATGGTAACACGTGTCAAAATGCTCACCTATCAGCTAGTCAGTTACGCCCTCAAAAACACCGTGGAAAAACACTGAGCTGCAGCACACAGAGACAAGACATCCGCCTGCTGCCTCTCCTCTCCCTTACAAACACTAGCTACCCTCCAGGCAGTCAATGAACATAAAGTTACTGTGATGTAGAGACAGAAACTCAGTTAAAACTTTATGGATGAAAGATACATTTGTTACAGATTAATAACTCACCACTCTGAAACTCTTGCTCCAGTTGCAAAAGTGTGGTGCGTTTCCCAAAAGCACTTCCTTGGTTGGAACTATGCAGTTGCAAGCAGCAACGCAACTGTTTCCCCAAACCCTACTTCGATCTATGGAGGTAACTAAGTTGGTAACTTACATGGTACGAACCCACTGGTTGACCGAAGCAGTGTTTATCATAGACTATACCAGCTTTTCAGGACCCGCCCTACTCTGCTTCTGATTGGCTAGTAGGCCTTAACTAGGTACTGCGCATGTGCAACTCCCAACAAAGAGGTGAGATGCATCACTCCGTAGCTAATAGGAGCGTTTAACACAGGGTGAAAAGAGGAGCTGCAGCAACGTACAGTATGACAAAAATATGGTGTTTTTTGAAAGTTAAACCAGGTAAACCTGTTCTGGTACAACTACTAAATAAAATTATTACCTGAAAATAAGCACAATGACTATTTTAAGAACTAGATACTCCTGCTCTAACCAAGCAAAGCAGCATCACGTGTCCTTGCATTACCTTTCTTTTTTCATCTTTCTGTCCTCACCAGTTTGTGGAACCAGGATGTTCCTCGTAAAGGTGTGTGGTTCGAGCGACAGCTGTTGGTTTCTGAGCTGAGGGAGGAGGATTTCCACATCAACTACACTTGTCGAGCATACAGTGCCAGAGGCAATCCTGAGGGATATTTTACTCTGCTACCAGAAGGTAAAAACACACCTGCCAAATGAAAACTCAAGACCACAGACAAAGTTGACACCTCACATTGTTTGTTTTATCCAACTAAGTCCAAAAAGACCCTCAGTTTAACATCATAAAGGATAATAAATCAGCACATATTATATTTTTAGGGAAGCTAGGGCCATGAATTTTTGCCATTTTTGCTTAAAAATTACTTTAGTGATGAAATGGTTATCAAAATCAAAACCTAGTAGAAAGATGATCAGTAAAGGCTGCATGTTGACACTTTTCCTCACCACTCAATAAAGACACATTTACAGTAGGCAACTGGCAAATTATTGGCGAAAACAAAGTAGACACAATCAATCAAAGTTACAGGTATTTTGATGCCAAGTGGAACACTAAGTCTGGTATGTGTGATGTTCATCTCTACAGATCCCAACATCATACTTCCCATTGGATTCATGCTTGGTGGCATGACGGTTCTCTTTATCATCAGTGTCACCATCTACTACCTTTTTAAGGTTGACATTGTGCTGTGGTTCAGGAGAGCGTTTCCAGTCCTCTATTCAAATAAAGGTAATCTTTCACAGCAGCTGTTTAATTAGTAATGTGCTCGTTATCACATACAGTATGCAAGGTAATGATGTCAGCTCACAAAAAACAAACTATTACGCTACACTCACAACACTCCAAGATGAAAAATCCAACAGTGATGCTTTGACCCTGCAAGACACACACAGTACCCATATACACATCACAGCTCAAAGAATCTCAAGTGCTACCTTTTACCCAACCTGTCAGGCTTTATCTGTCATTCGGTGCAATGGAGGAGCAGCCATTGTCTCACCTGAGCAAAACAACCACCACTAAAAATATCCTTAATGAGCTTTTCCTTTTTCCCCATGTCAGAATTGGATGGGAGGCTGTATGATGCCTATGTGGCATACCCACAGCCCTGTTCAATCGGATTCAGCAAGGAAGTGGAGACATTTGCCCTTCACACACTGCCTCAAGTGTTGGAAAAAGCTTGTGGCTACAAACTCTTCATAGCAGGCCGTGACTGTCGGCCCGGGCAGGGTAAGTCTTTTACATAGCAGAGATAGCACTGTGGTATTATTTGCCTCAGATATATGGGTACTTTAAAAAACATGTTTTTTACTGCAACTCCACTCTGAAAATTTAAGGACCTTTTCTTAGGTTGTCAATATTAGTATTATATTTTCAGTCACAACCAAGTAAATTTTTTATTTTAATTTTTTTTACAACCGATATTTTCATGTACGTTATTTGTCATTGTGATTGAAGGGAATGTTGGCTTTGCCTGAATGTCAGTGCCATATTTTTACCTTCAGATACAGTACAGGCTGCTATCTGAGATACTGAAAAATGTGTTTTTTGTTTATTTATATACGAGTAACACACTAGTCTGGTATACAATGGCCGGCCACCTTCTCATATTTCCATCAGAAATGGCCATAATCAGTGGTTCCCAACCTTTTTGGCTTGTGACTATGCTTGGGCAGTATCACAGCATTACAGTATGCCAGGGTATTTAGAAATCCCGATGGTATGACTTTCACTACCGTTAAATATACAGACGCTATTAAACTGATACAAACAAGATTCCTGTTTGGGAGTATATTGGGTTTAGTCCCGATGATAAAGATGAGCCAGCCAACAGCACAAAGCTCTGTGCACATCATCTCCGCTCACTATGTGTTGGTATCCACAACAACAAGTGTCATTGGGTCTTCCAGCATGAATCTAAAAAATAAGGGCGCTTATTCCCTATCGATTATTCTATTGGTTAAGTATTTAAACGCAGAAAGACTTATCTAAGTAGACAGTAGGCTAACTACATATTAGACACACAGCATTGTAGGCTGGACAATACCACCATATACCGTATATGGTGTATATAAGGTTTCAGGAAGGTATAAATTTGTGAAAAAATTGATACGGCTCAAGCCTACTTGCGACCCCTCAAAATACTCCAGTGTCTACTTGTGACCCCCTTGTTACAAGTTGATATGTCTATGGGATTTGACAAGTTTTGGTCACTTTTATGCTCATGTTTTTCTAACGCATTTGCACTGTGTCTCTCCTCCGTTTCCTCCCTGCAGCCATCGTGGACTCAGTGGAAGAGAATATACAAGCCAGTCGCCGCCTCCTTCTGCTCTACACCGCCACCACTTTCACCAGCAAAGGACACACAAGCAGCCTTAGCAATAATAACAACAATATATCTAAGAGCAATGAGAGCACCGAAAGCAAGACCAGAGAAAGCAGCAGCAGCAGCATGAGTTTTGATGGTAGTGAAGAAGTTTATTCAGACACAAGGCAGCAGTTGGAGTGCGTGGCAGCAATGCACAGAGCGCTGCTGGAGGAATCTCTCAAGGTGAGAAAACAAACTCTTGCATTCATATTCTTGACAGCAGAAAGTTTTCTCTCTACAAAGACAACTGTCGTGGAGCTACACATATTTAACATCACTATTAAATTTAGCTCTAGGCCAACCTTAACCCCAGGCTGCATTAAATCATTACACTTGATTTAATAAGAAAGAAAAAAAATTAACACAGGTTCATGGAGTCACGTTATTTTCTCAGAACACTCACAGCACACAACTTGTTTTATCTGACTGTGACAGCATGAAAGAGATAAAACCATGATGATTTATTAATGTAATTAAAATTTCTTCGTGGCTCATGGTCACACGCTCAAAGGGCCACCCAGATTCTAATTCGAGCGCTGCTTTCCAGGTGGTTCTGGTTGAGTTGGAAGAAGTCACCCGGGCTCAGCTGGCTCTTTTCCCAGAGTCAGTGCGTCACCTGAGGAAGAAGCAGGGCGCTGTGTGTTGGTGGAAGAACCCAACGGCGAGTCAGAGGACATGTATGAAGAGGAGAGAGGACGAGGAGAAAAGTGGACAAAACACACAGTTGTCGCCATCCCTCTCCCCTTCCTCCAGGTTTTGGAAGGAGATGAGGTATCATATGCCAGTGAGGGGCAAGAGGGTGGTGTACCCCGAGAAATCTCCCCTTCTAAACTTATGATGGAGTTATAATATTTATGTGTCAACTGTTTGACCAGACAGGAGGGTTTCCAATGCAAATGTGTATGGTAGTGAATGCCCTCACATGCAGACAGTTAAAAAAAACTGTGCTGTCACCAGAAGCATTCCAAGTCAAGGTTACAACCTTGGCCATAACATACTCTTACAAATGTCCACTCGACAGATATATTCTTCCTTTAGCTTCTAATTGTGTAACTGCTCAAGTAGCACATTTCTGACAGCAAAAGGTCCTATTTGTACCATGTACAGCATGCGCTAAAGGCAAAGTAACGGATCAAGAAAAGGTGGGAGATGCTTTGCTCAAAGACTCTATGACGGTAGCTCACATCTGATGTGAAGATGTCTGGGCTGTTTTGAGATTACCTGCATCGGTACATGAACTGTTTACCTTCCCTGGCAGGTGGAGACCATAGACTGTATGAAAAATGGACATAGTCTCCGTGACGTCACCCATAGGTTTCTGAAGAGAGATTGTGAATCTCTGTGTGGTGGCACCAGCCGTTGGGTGGAGGTAGCAGACATCTAGCAACTAGCCACCTGTGATGGCGCCCACCTGTCACTCAAAGCAGGCATTCCCTTAATTATGCGTAACTGTAAGCCTTATTATAATTTAAATGGGTGAGATTTATAAAAAAAAATCACCCCGTACAGTTGTCATCAACAGGGGAAATTAGCTAGAGAGACCAAAACAGTTTTTTGTTTCAGGCTGTAAATATGTTGTTTATTTCTACTGTAAAGTTAGGCATTTTAATATGAAGTTTATGTGGACTGAATTTCTTTTGGAGCCCTCCTTAAGTGGCCATTGGAGGAACTACAGTTTTTGGCACTTCCACGTTTAGCTTAATTTTTCAGCCCTGGAGGTTGAGGCTTGGCGGAGATAAATGATGTGGACAAAGGACGACTCAGGAATCAAACCAAATGATTAAATGTAACTGTAAAATGTACATATGTATGATAAAATGTTTAAATATGTAAAAAGAAAGAAATATTTCTACAGCATCATAAGAAGCCAAGAAGCTAATTTCATTTTAAATGTACTGGCATTTCTGTTATGAGTGTGTTATGTTACGTTATTGAACTACAGATGAGGAACAGTAAAGAGCAACAGCCAAGGAGGGAAACGTTTATGTGTTGATTTGTATTAAATGTTATTTATAAGGCATTTCTTGTAACAAAGCAGCACAACGTACTTGGTTTAAGTCTGGAAGAAAGCACCAAACTGTGTTCTGACATTCTTTTATCACAGTGATTATATCATTTCATGTTGACCCATTTTAAGCAGTGGTTTGCAAAATGGGGTCCGGGAACCCCCAGGGATCCTTGAGGGGGTACGTGGGAGTCCCCAGCCAAAAGTGGAAAAATGTATTTTCACTATAATTCCATCAATAAGTTGACAGAATGTAGGACTATTTTGGTCATGGGTTTCATACAGCTTTGTGTAACAAAACATCTTAAGTAAAAAAAATCCTATCAGATGGCGGACCCTGTGATAAAATCCTATCAAAAGGGGGTCCTTGGTCTAATGCGTGTTAGTTTAGGGATCCTTAACGTGGAAACATTTGAGAACCACTGATTTAAAAATATTTTTTGTTTCCCTTAAGATTTTGCTCTTAGCAGTATGCAAAAGCCTTCAAGTTAGTTTCCAGTGGAAAACAAATATGTGCAAATCATTACCCTGTCTTCCACCCCACACAAAGTGCAATGCTCATTGTGTAGCAAATGTACTTGCAGCCATCTGTGCGCCAATGGGACAGCTGATGTTAAAATGAGGTGTGGTCAGGCACATTTTTGGCACATTTCTATCTTGAGGCAGCAGAAAGTGATTGCGCCATTGACCAACCAACACCTGGTCAATGGCACAGTATTTACCTTCTATTTAAAGGGCGCATTATTCCAATTATAAGATGCTCCCCATTTAGAGAGAGATGCTGTGCGTATTTACACACAAGGAACAGCAGCATAACTTCATTGATTAGGCTGTTTCAATCTCCCGACACTTTGACAAGATCAGTCAAGGATGCACTGACAGCAGCCTTAAAGAATCATACATCAATACAACATACAGTAAAGAAATTACCTGGAAGAGAGAGATGTGACCAGTTCATCATACATACTGCAGCGCAGCAAGGTACAGACATTTTATAGGAGACGAGCACATATCACATAGATCTGTCACTGTTAACCAAGATTCCAGTCTCCAGTGTACTTTATTCATTTCACAGCACTGTACAGTAACATTAGGCTTCACGATCAAAGAAAGTATTTATATTACGTCGTAACTTCAGTTATATTCGTACACTCACTCTCGTTACTGCACGAGTCACCTCGCTATTAAAGGGAGTGGTAGATGACACTGGTTTGATTCATGTTACGCCTAAAACATAATTAAGAGACTAAATACAACCTCTTTGTGCCTTGCATCTTACTTTGCGCTCTTTAAGCAAAAGTGGAGCTGGACAAACCCTAAGGCCCTTGTGCCATGCACTTTAAACCATGAGGCCAATACTGTTATCTTCAATAGGAAAATGTTATTTGATTCTATGAGAATTTATTATCTTCAGATTGTAAAATCTGACCTTTTTTTCTCCGCTTCCAGTTTTCAATGTTTCCCTCAAGACTTTTTTTTTAGGACGAAAACATTTGAAAAAGGGATAGACTCCCTAAACCTCAGTTTTTCCCTTAAATGTGCTGTGTGTAGTTAAGATTTTACCTCCTTTCACCTTCTAAGAAAGAAATTTTAAAGTGCTACACATGATGTAGATAGACAAAAATAAACATACATAAACTTTATAGCAATATAACAATATATATAACAATGTTATATTACATTACAGCCCTATTGCAGGGAAGGCAAACTGGTAAAAATGGGTTTTGAGAAGTGTTTAAAGCAGTTTCCCCCCTCTGTTAGAGCAGATTAGAGAGATAGGACCCTAACAGCAAAAGCACAGTCGCCCTTGGATCTGTGGAGAGTGAAAGGTATAATTAGACATTTTCACGTGGCCTTTTATTGTGGCCAGCCTAAGGCACACCTGTGCAATACCCATGCTGTCTGATCAGCATCTTGATATGTCACACCTGTGAGGTGGATGGATTCTCGGCAAAGGAGAAGTGCTCACTAACACAGATTTTGAAAGATTTGAATAATATTTAAGAGAAATAGGCCTTTTGTGTACATAAAGTCTTAGATCTTTGAGTTCAGCTCATGATGTATGGGGGCAAAAACACAAGTGCTGCGTTTATAATTTTGTTCAGTGTATAATAACTGACACACACATACACATGTTAATATTTTCAAAAATATCTAATTACAGTGTAGTTTGAATATAACTGGCATTTTGTAAATTGCTCTGGGGACACAGAGTTTGCCCTGGAATCACGCCAAAGACTTGCCTGGCTGGAACCAGCACAGCAACGGAAGCAGTTGAACAACCTGCGGGTTTACAGTGTTGATTCCTAGATCGTTTTTGCCACTGGCCGCCGAGTGTGCAGCCAGAGGGATGTATTGTTTTATTATTGTCCAGTAGGTTATAGTGGGTTCGGGGGTTCCCATTGTTGGGTCCCCCGTTTTAAGGGGGGGTGATGCCCTGTGGGGTCATGAGTGGGTGTGGTCTATCTCTCTCTCCCTTGCAGATCAAGAGCTCGTTATGGTAACTGGAAGCACCTGGGCCCAGTGTCTTTTGAGGTTAGACTATTTTTAACCCTGTCTTTTCATTCTGCAGGAGGCTGCTGTTGACACCAGGTCAGACCTCCCTGCGGGCTGGCTCCCCGGTTTCCCCTTCAGTTTGGTTTTGGATAATTGCTTTGTAGTATTGACCTTTTTTTCCACCTTCAACACCACCTTCACACATATTCATGCAACCATCATCCTGTGAGGATGATGCTGAGAAACCAGCTGAGAAACCAGCGGATGTGTTGCTGAAGATTTGCAGCTCTATTTTAAGAAATGTGAAGTTCCTGGGGCCAGAGCGGGCGACACTGAATCCTATTTAAAACTACCGACAGTAAGATTGTTATTCATTTCGGCGGTAACAATTACGCCTGTCGGAGGTCACTAAAATTAATGTTCAGTCGGTGGGTACATATGCAAAGACAATGTAGGACTCTACTGTAGTTTTCTCTGGGCTCTTGCCAGTTCTTAGCAGTGATGACATTTTTAGCTGCCTGCATGTTCATGGTTAAAGTATTGATAACTTACAGTAGTATTGATTTCGTAAGTTTAAGTTATAGATGTTCAGATACATTGTAAAACTTTAAGAATTATTATTATCATCATCATCTTATATATATCTATCTCATCTTTTGCAGGTGTGATGTCAAGTTGCTCTGTGTTGCCACAAGAGGTCTCAACATGACTGTGTAAAAAGAGCTCCCATAACACCTTGATAACCAGAAATATGGGAGACATGGGATTGATTTAAATTCACCTAAATAGTGTTTTAGACGGCTAGCTGTAGTCTCGCGCTGAAGTGCCGTGGGAACTCAGTTGTTGCCGGAAAAAAGTAAATAGCAGTGTGCAGGTGGGAGGAGCGTAGTGTGTGAATAGTGAAGAAATTGTTCGCGTTTGTGCCATTCCAAATTGTGGTAACAGAATGCGAAAATACAAGAACCTTTTTCCAGCAAATTATTACATTATTATAAAACAAGTTATTTGGTTATAGCTTTTCAAATGTCAGGATTTTTCATTTTCGGGGGGGGGGGGATTTTTTTGCTACGGGAGAAAAAGAGAACAGAGTACACAGGATGTGTGTTCTAACTGCCACATTGTGGCTGTAAATGTAGTTCATGTTTTCCACAGAATATCCTGTTTGAAACTGACATTTACCCAGTGATCGAGTGTGACTCATTGTTCCTGGGGATTCCTCCATCCAGCGGGGAAGCCCAGGGTTCGGCTTCACACCTCTGCAAGACTGCACTACAGTGTTTTTTTTTTAGAAGAATTGCACGTAGGTCAGCTTATTATTTCAGTGATGGGAACCAAAACTTATCAGTGGTAGATATAGTGCTCCATTTTAGTCTTTAGGTTTCTTGTTTTTTATTAGTTGGTTGGTCACATATCTTTAAAATGTAGGTTACTTGATGATCTATAGATTTTTTAATAAAATAAAATAATTCTTAATTTCTAATACTAAAAGCCCCAATGTCATAACTCGCTGGATGTTGCTGAAATAATAGCTTAAAATCTCAGAACATATACTTGCGGCTGAGATAAGATATGAGATAAGCCATATTTTCACAATTAACAGTTTGGTCTGTTGTTTTGTTCTAAACATTATTTAATTATTATGGTTAAGATTAACGTAAAACATTTGTCATTAAGTTTAAGGTAAGTTATTTTATGTTGAGGTTACAATAAGTTTAATTTGGTTACATTAGGGGAACGTTTTGCTGATGGTTTAACTGCATATTAAAATACAAAAGATAAATGTACAGTTGAAAGGTAAAATACAAACACACTCCAGGGCATAAAATTAAGTCTTGTCCGGCACAAGTGGATTTTTTTAGGGCAAGCAGAAGAGAAATTTCTTTGTCCCACTGGACAAGTTCAAAAACAAAATACTGTGTGCCACTCATTACTTGCTTTATTACGGATTTGAAACTAATGCACGAATGCTTTGACCAATCAGGAGTCGATCCACGTAGTAACCACTCACAGTTAAAACATTACTTTTTACTTCAGAAGAACAAAAAGATATGTTTCTTAAGGCTCTGTAGTCCGGCCAAGTGCAAGGGAAAGCGTCAAGAAGAACTAACATTGCAATGGTACCATATGAGTCAAAAAGAGAAAGAAAACTTGTGAACCTCTGGAGAGATAAATTTGTCTGGGTATGTTACGAGGAAGGAGTAATGTTCTGCAGTGTTTGTCGGGGCCAACACAACTTGGCTGACTACTACGTCAGGTTAGGGTTGGTCGATATGGCCAAAAAAGTTATCATGATAAAAACATATCAAATCATTCAATATCTATAATTATCACTATATATATCAAATCATTATTTCTTTCAAGTTTAAAGGCTGATTTTTGCTCCTGAATGAAAATTGAGGAAACCAGATGGTTAATTATTTGGTTAAACTTGTCTTTATGGTCAGAATGTGACAAAAACTCTATGCCAAACAGTGGATCTCTTAACAAATCTGAGGTAGAACTTTCAAAACCATTATGATAAAATCTTTAACAAATGATTAGTAAATCTTTTTTCAGTCCCACTTTCCTCAACAAAATATTTTAATAGAAAAAGTGCTAATTTGTTCGTGATTCAGTTGAATTAAACCAAATATTTATTGACGATATATTGAACATTATATTGTTATTGAGGAAAATTATATTGCAATGATTATCATTATTGTTTTATAGCCCAGCCCTACCTCAGGTGTTAGCAGAGAATATTTTCTATTACTACTAATTGATTTATTTTTTCACCATTTTAATTCTACTTCATTCTCTACCTCATTTGTGTTTACTCACTACTTGAATCTGCTCCCTTTCCCTTCATTTTCCCCGCACTGTGCAAACATTTACATTTATTCATTTCTCACTCTACCTGTTGGTGTGTTCTCTGCTGACTTTCTCAATCAGCAGTACGTTTTAGAAAGTCACCGAAAAACACAGAACTTGTCTGGATTTTTTCAGCAGCAGGTGTGCCACATGTGGAGGGGGCTTTTTACTGAAGCAAAATGAAACCAGTGCATCAAAAAATAAAAACAAAATAAATAAGATATCTGCACTGGTGTGTTCACTGTTGCTTTACCTGGTCCGTGCTTATAAATGTTGGCTATTCTCACTGGTCTCAATTGTTTGGTCATAATTCAACATTGATTATAAAATAACATGAGCATTTTCACTGGAAGGAGCTGAAACTAAATCGCACACCATTTTAATTCTACTTAATTCTCAAATTTATTTTTGTGTTTAATCAAACTACAGTAATCTGCTCACCTTGCTTTTCCCATCAGACACACAAGCACACACCTGCACCTGTATGTCTCTCTCTGTCTGCTCTGACTTTATTTGTCAGCAGTTTCATTTAAAATAACTTGCGTTTGGCATCTTTTCACCCACGATTCCGTTTTCACAGCAGATGAGCCACATGCGGAGGAGGCTTGTTATTAATTACCGATAGAGATCACTGTGGTATGAATGACATCATCACCAACAGCTGTTCACCGTTGCTTTACCTGGTCCATGTTTACAATATCCATCGTTGTCTTCTAACGTGAGGACGCGTCTCTTTTCTGTGTGTTTCTCTGCAGATGTGGTCAGCGTTGCGTCTTCTTCACTTTTGAATAACTTCCACACACTTATGCCAGCACAAGACATGTTTTAGCCTGTGTGTGTGTAGGTGGCTGTGACATGAGGTTAGGGGTATGGTTGTAACATGGGGAGAGTTGTAACAACATCAACTCCAACAAATAGAGAGATGATAGGAGTTAGGTGATCATATCAGTATTTACCTACTTCCTCCCCGATCAGGCATGGTGGTTATCAAGTCTGGAAAGAGGTGCATTTAGAATATATAGAGAAAAAAAAACTAATTTTGAGGTAAGAAGGTACATTTTTTGACCAAGACTATTTTTTGTTTAGTATCTCTACTATTGCAGATAGAATTGTTTGACTTACATTAGATTGACAGGTTTATTTATTTCAGTAATTCAACTTAAAAGGTGAAACTAATATATTATATAGACTCAATACATGCAAAGTGAGATATTTCAAGTCTTTATTTGATATAATTTCGATGATTAAATTCAAAATCTCAAAATTAGAATATTACATGAAATCAATAAAAAAGGATTTTAAATACAGAGATGTCAGCCCTCTGAAAAGTATAATCATGCATATGTACTAAGTACTTGGTTTGGGCCCCTTTTGCATGAATTACTGCCTTAATGAGGCGTGGATGCTATCAGCCAGCAGTGGCACTGCTCCCCATTCACATGTTGGTGTGTGTATCGCCACTTGACCTTTTCCATACGGTCTCCACCGTTTGGAGAGGGTAGAAAAAGTCCCGGTACGCAAAAGAGTAAAATATAGAAGTGCTGGTATACATACCGGTGAATATCGGACCACTTCAAGCACTGACTGTGACTCTGAATAAGAATACACACACACACACACACACACACACACACACACACACACACACACACACACACACACACACACACACACACACACACACACCTCTTTTTAGTTAGACCTAAGGATGTACAGAGATGATCTTTAATTAATTACATTTAAGTAGTTTGTGTTAAGTATACTTTTAAGTAAGTTTATTCTATAGATACATTTACATATACATACTGTACATGTGTGTGAGTCATCAGAGAAGCAGCAAGCAAGAGAAAAACATTGTTCTTTTATTTAACTACCTGTTTTGGAAGCATATCATGTAGTGTGGCATCTATTTTTGATTCTTTTGTGTGATTGTTACTGAAGCAAAAAGTGTTGCAACCATACCTGGTCTCCCCTACTTTCTGTGCACACATGTGAAACACGGCGCAGCCTGTTTGTAACATTCAATGTAACCGGCAGAAAATTTGATATTTGACACTGCTCGGCCCGGTCACTGGTCAGAGCCAAGTAAGCGAAAATAACCGGCCTATTTCAGTCCCCAGCTGATCAATCTGCGCATCTCTAGCTGTAGTTCCAGTCCAATAAGCTGTTAAACAAGCTACCAAATAAGCTAAGTAATTTTTTAATAACAGAGTGGGCTCATAGAAAATAATCGGTCATCATAACTTTTTGTCATAATTAATTTATTAATGACTCAGCATTATCTGTATTAAAGACAAAAGAATCAGTTCATCCAATTTTTAAAGTGCATAAAACAGCCCTGCCAGCCTGCTTAACATTACTGGAGCTCCACAACTACTGACAGATTTGAACTGGTTTTCTGCCACCGGACTCCTGTGAGGGAGAAAGCAGTGAGTGGACCAAACCACTGTGAGGCAAGAGAGGGGGGACTCAAAATGTTTCTAAACTTAAAAAGCACTTTAATTGCCCAGTTTGCGTTTGTATTGTTTTATTAAATACTATTTACACAATGCTATCTTAAGTATATATCATTATATTATTTGACGCTTTTTAAGGGGGGGAACATTTTTGAGGACAATGCCTCAAAAATGTCCATGGAGCGCTGAAATCTTGCTCTACCTGTCCCATGGAGGTGGGACAGAGCTGTTGAGTCATTTGCTGAGCTGCATGGCCGAGACCCCACTCTGCTCACAAGGGTCAAGCGTGTTAGTTCTGCTCTAGCATGTGAACTCTCATCCTTCATCCTTCTCATACAGATTCCGTCTGTATGGTGCCTCTGTGGCGCTTTGCCCGAGGTAAGTCAAAATATTCTACTCACTTTTGCTTTCGAAAGACAAATTTTTCTCTTCTTGATTTCTTACTGATGTAATAACGTTACTAGCTCTGCCACTGAAGGCAAATATAATCTGTCCTAGATCAGCTACCAACCCACATACCTTTTTAGAAATATGAGAGCTGCTCAAGCTTCAAGGAACAGCAGTTCAGGGTTGCATGTTTACTGCGTTAGAGAAATGTGTGGTATTCTAACCACAAAAGATACGCACTTCCCTTTCCACTATAAAGGCACCTGCTGTATTGTATCTGTATAGTCAATAGTAATATTGATGTTCCTTTTCTCCTATTAAAACAACAGAAATGTAGCTAAAAATTAGTGGCATGAAATTGAAATTTCAAAAAAAAAAGCAAAGGTAAGAATCATCATACAAAATAATTAAAAACTTGAACAAATTAAGTGAGTAATTTAGGGGCATTTTTGAATAATTGTTTAGTGTTGGTCTGCACTCTTTAAGTACATCCTAAATTCTAGCACGTTATGTCAAACATTTAGATGATGTGTTCTCTACAATAGTGTAAGAGCACCTTTTTGAGCCAAGCACCTAGAAGACAACAGGACTGCAGTCCACATTTTACAATAAGATAGCATTGCAGAACTGAAACTAAGGTAGGCTGTGTATGTTAGACTTTGTTACCTGTGGGTTTTACTGGTGACTAAAATCTTTATGGAGGATGGATTAGCTAGACACAAGCATTAGAATGACCTCGTTCTATTTACTGTACATCTCCTTTTCTTCATTTAGCCTACATTACTTGGTGTGCACTGCAAATTTGTTAAAAGGGTTCATTTGTAGTTAATTGGTTTTGCAAATCAGAAGAATTGGCTGATTATTTTTCAGACACAACTTTACATTATGGATAATTTATACAGACTTTGAGATGGAAATGCAGCCCACTGCATCAACTGTTTCCAGATCTAAGATAGTCCAGTTTTATTTTAAATAAAAACAACAAAGACACAAGGGTAAAAGCAGAGATGAATAAACCCACCCATAATATCATAAAGCATATAACTACAAAACCAAAACGGAAATAAGCAAACAATATTTTCCTCAGTGTGAAACATGAGGCATGCTTGTCATATACTCGTGCTGTGCTGTTGGAGGGGTATCTCCCATTGTTTTTACTTTTTAGTGCTAAATAGATCATGTACCGTAAAACTTCAATTCAAAGCAAAGTCCCAATTAGACGCCTGTCCCATTTACTGGCCGGATATGGATGAAACACCTCTTAAATCCCACCGGGTGACCTGCTTGAGCTAGTTCTAAGCTGCTTAGATCGTGCATACAAATATAAATGTTGAAACATTTGTCAATATGGACATGCTACACATTGTACATCGTTTAGATTGTCCATAATTCAGTTGAGCACCAAAGTAGTAATAATAACTTTGATTTATATAGCGCCTTTCACAAACTTATGTCGGGCAGCCCTGTTCACATAAGGGGGGTGACGTAAGAGATGGAGAGATTTAATCACCTCAAGGCTAATGTTATTTGGTACGATGTGCGAGGTGAAATTCTTGAGTTCCAAAGCTGAGTACCTTATGAAAGCCATGATGCCGGAGGAGACCGCTAGATTGTTCAATGCTAGCTAGCGTTAGCTTACAAGCCACAGACCACCCACCAGAGAATCACAGCCAAGCTTCAACAGAGACTACTGTGGAGGATAAAGCCGTTGTCAGTGTTAATTACAGCTGTTGGCAGTTTGGGGATCATCAGAATAAAGCCAAGGTTTGGAAGTAGCCTGTCGACCACTCTGCAATGTAGAAAATTAATCCAACTAATAGCATAACGTTGACAACAAATTAGTGAAGCAGCAGGAGTAGAATCGCAGAGTGGCTGGAGTTGTGCGTATTGTTTGTGAGCATGAGAAGCGGCAACAGACATGCCAGCGTCCTCTCACACACCCACGTAACACTTATCATTATTATGTTATATAAAGTACAATTCATTCAGATTTACTGGCATGAAATGGTAAACAAGAGCAGTGGGGAAAAAAGTGGTGACTCATTACCTTTGAAGCAGTCATCCGATTAATCAGACAAAAAGTTATATTTATACTGGTTTAAATAACCATATTGATAAGAGCCTACACCACATCTTTGGTGAGCAAGAGATTTGCGTGAAAGGAATTAAAGGCCATCCCATATAGATGGCTGTCCCAAATATAGGCAGGGTGAGTTCAGTGAATGAAGCAAATAAAAGCCTGGGCTATTAACTGAAGTTTACGCTAGTTTAACTACAAGCTAAATAGCTTCAGTTTACTCTGTGGTTTCCTCATTAACTCACGTAAGGGCTGAAATTCATAATTTATATTAAAATATCTTGTTGTTTTGTCCCAAATCAGTCCAGCAGAGTATTATTTATTGCTGTATCTTGAAAATTCCAGTGCCTGAAGATACAGCGTCTTTAATTTCACTTTCTCATAAGAACCAGAATAACATGAGAAGTAGGAGTTAACAAAACAGTGCGATCAATACAAGAGAAGTGGAAGTGCATGTTAGAGGTGAGGGGTTAGAGGTGTTATAAGAGTAAGTGTTCTCAGAAGAGAGCGACTTGAAATTAGATATCAGCAAGATTAGAAAATAGCACTGGTGTGGCTTTCCCCCCCCCACACTGATGCACTAACAAACTACAGTTGAGAATGACAGAAGCTGGTGGTAAACCACAGAACCTGTAGCACCTCACATTCACTGCAGCCTGCCAAACCATCAATCCAGCTACACAGCTTTGTCTCTATCCGTCTCACTTCAGCAGATGAGTCTTCCTGTGACATATACTGTGGTTACGATCATCTTTCTAGCCACAGCAGTTTCCACACATTTGGTTACTGCCGTTTTCTTGTAAAGCCTTTTTTCTGTCTTTGCATCCTGCAGACAGCTTACAAACTACTGAGCTGTCAAATTCAAAAAGGTTATGGACCTTTTTTTTTCCCCTCAGCTTCCAGTTGTCAATGATTCCTCCGAAGCAATTAAAACAGGGATAGACCTTTTAAACCCCACTCACCTTAAATATCTCCTTAATTACCTTACACTGTTCCAACACTTCATTAATACTTAACACTGAGCAAAACCCCATTCTGTAAAATTGAAATATTCTGGATGCCTTGGGCATCATTTTATAAAGCTTCAGCTTTACACATCTGGTATCTTTCAATTTAAAATAAAGCTCCATGGCTTTGACAATGGATCCACCACCGGCCCATTACAAAATTGTAAAGCACTGTTAAAATATCCTTTCCTGATGAGTTGAAGGATCTCAATTGTGCCTCCTTAGAAATACAGACATCCTACAGTTAATGAAATAACTGTGCTAAGATGACATTTGTACTAAACTCAGCAAAAAAAACAGCTGTATATTAAAGATAGTTCTGTAAAATGCCAAATAACTTTACAGATCTGTAGTTTTTATATAATATCTTCCATGCTTATTCAATGAACCATAAACAATTAATGTACATGCGCCTGTGGAACAGTCGTTAAGACACTAACTGCGTATAGACGGTTATAAAAACTTAGAACAGATCATTCTACTAACTCTAAAAAACAAAAGATATACCAGGATAGGATCCCTGCTCATCTATGTTAATGTGCATTAGGCATGCTGCAAGGAGACATGAGGACTGCCGATGTTGCCAGGGCAACAGATTGCAAGGTCTGTACTGTGAGAGCACTACAGGGAGACAGGAAGGACCGATGATCGTCCTCACAGTGGCAGACCACAGGGACACACCAGATACTGATCATTACTTTTGATTTCTGAGGATCTATTGACAGAAATGCAATATAAGATCCATAACTATGTTTTCAGGGGTGTATAAAACCCTTACATAATATATTATTTTATTACCTTAGAATTAGCCATTTCTAAACACATAACCTCTTCCATGTCTAACGGCCAAACAGCGCTACAGGGCGCGCTTTGTCACCATGTTCCTTTTCTTCTTCTTGAAGAAGCAGCAGCAGCAGCATACAACAGCGGCCATCAAATAAGTTTGCATTGGAGCAGTTTTTTAATCCATTAGATGGTGGGGGAAAATATAAGATATCAGTTGGTAAAGCAGATGACTCATCTGGAAGTTTGTGTGTTTGATCCTACAATGGGTACATTTTTCCCCCTCCCAGGATTCTTGCACCATTTTAAAGAGTCAAATTTAATGCTTTTTAAGACCTCAAGAAATATAAATTTAGGACCTCAAATTTTGAAACAATTTCTTTGATAGAAAAGAGATGCGCGTTTGATCTCTTAATGAACGACGCAATGCCATATTTGGCAGTTTTATTTTCACATTGCATTGGGTCCCTGATATTGGAGTTAAGGGATTCCCTAAGGGCTTTTTTCAGAAACTAAGGTGTGAAAGTTGTGAGAGGATGCGCAGGAGAGATGAGAGGTGATTTGGTGCCAATATATTCCTAAATGAGCAAGCTATTGAAATTGTAATTTACATAATTAAGAATTTAATTAATGTATTAATTTATTTTCATGTTTGTTTACAAACTTACAGGTGTGAAATGTTTGAGGGTGGTCACTAGTTATATTAGCAGTGGTTTGAGATTCTTATGTTGAAAAACAAAAAAGTTATTGAAGATTGAAATGGATGTTTTGCAATTTGCCGACGGTCCCTAACTCCCCCCACAGTGACAGGCGCATTTGACAGACATTCAGTGCATTGCGCTCTGGACTGCGTCGTTATCTTAAGTGACTTTGAGGTGATCACAACTGTGAAACTTCTGCCTGAATTAGCTCTCCAATATATCCCAAAACTGGGAGAAATTGAGATTTTGACACGGAGCTATTGAAGGGAACAGGCGCGAAAAACGACGAATGTTGAATATTAAACTAACTTCACCCCGGTGAATGGCTGCGTGTCGGGACGAATGAAACACCTGTTTCAATCGTCCCGACAGTGACTCTTGACGTTTAAACTTCACTGGCTTCTAAACTATAAAACTTTGACATTTAAAACTTCAGGATGTGTTAAAGTACTAACTAATCTCTTATGTGATCATGACCCTGGCACATGGAACATTAAACACAACTCGTCACTCAAAAAAAAAAACGCTTGAGTGAATTTACTATCCTCCGTAACTCCGTGAAAGTGTGACGTCCACCTGGTTTTCCCCCTGTTCTGTTAAGTACTGTGGACTGTATGTGCTGAGGTAGTTTGGCATATCAGACTTGTATGGGCTCCGAGAAAATCGCTGTGTTTCAATCGTCCCGGCTCTCCCCTACAGCAATTTACGGTAAATTTAAAACCTTAATTTCCTTGAGTTCAATTTAAGACCTTTTAAGATTAAGGAGCCGCGGGAACCCTGCCTCCTCAACAAACTGAAACATGCTCACTTTAGGGGAATCACGTTTTCTGACGGCTATTTCAGAGGTGTGTTAAGCAGGCAACAGACTCTTTTTATTGTCATTCAGAATATTTCAAAGTAAAAGCTCTCAATTCAGCTGTTACTGTTGCTGTCATGAGTGAGATTTATTTCAGCACCACTGTCAAAGTATTTATTTATGCCGATTTCAAAGCACCATAATCTGGCTGCCGATCAGATATTATTGCTGGCAGGCAGTTTAGGCGAGGGTCCATAATCACAGAGAGAATTAATGTTTTAAAACGCCTATGTAAGCTTTTCTAGCTGATAAGGTTACATACTCTTGGCTTACATTCATCGTGATTACATTTTTGGCCATATCGCCCAGCCCTCCTGGGAGAGCTACTCATTAATTAGTGGACTATCACGCTGCTGCTGCTGCTGCTGGTGTTTTTTTCCTCTTAATCTGGGTCTGTTCAGGGTTTACTACATTTTGGATTGGGTTTGTTAACTGAGTACACACCCACATACGTCTGTGTCCTTTCCAGCTTTAGTCTGATACTTTTATCATGGTCCAAAACAGATGACTGCCTATACAGAACTGGTTAAGCTGATAAGACTGGCTGGTGCTGGAGATTTATTAAACAACCAATTGTGACCGGTTGGTGATGTGAAAAATTGTGTTTTCTCTGGAGAGCTAAACATGACATCTTACAGTTTATTCTGTTGGCACTCTTTTGTTTTTTTCCAGCCATGGGCCTCCGTTCAACGCTGGGAAGCCTTCTGTTTTTCTTTGGGCTATATGGAATATGTAAAGGATTTTTACAGGGTGAGTACAGTCACTGTTTTCTCAAATAACTACATTAAAACTACCAGAGCTCTGACTATTTAAAAACAGACATATATACTGTGTATCCATTATATGTATGTTTTTGTAAGTATTATATTTCATATTTTTTTGCCAAGTCTAACTTTAACGTCTGCCTCCAATTTGTATGGAAGCGTTTATCGTCATCTTGTGGCCACTGGTGAAACTGCAGTAACTTTTTTTTCAGTCCTCAGTGTTACCAATATTCTGAAGTCTCACACTCATGAAGAGAAAAAGAGCAAAGACTGCCAGGCTGCTTTTGTGATAACACTGTATTGCTGCTTTGGTTGAATTCAATTAACTATAAAAATCTAACCAGAAGGAAATATACTGGCTCTGGAACAAAATAGCCTAAATCCCAATAAGATGCAGTGTGTTTTGTGCTCAAGTGGATCAGATGGGATTAGACACAACCAACAAAGTTTAACTGTTCACGATGCAGCAGTTTGACACATTCACAGAAAGGTAAATCTGTTCCGACTCGCAGACTCAACTATGGCATCACTACTAAGATGTTACATACATCATCACTATTCAATTAATGGACCGCGGGGCACATCTGGGTCCAGCATACATAAATATAATATGAAAAAAATAAGTAAACTATAGTGTATGGAAGTAGCTAACCTCTCACATCTGTTGAGTTTCACATGCTCTGTCCGACCAAGTAGGAGGTTTAAGCAACATTACCAATTCAGGGCTCAACAATAAGGACTGCCTGACCTACAGCCTCTCCCCTCCTCTGTCTCTACAGAGCAACTCCTCTCCACACTTAATTTATACACCTGTTCAACAAGCATAAACATGTAGAAAGCGATAGTTTAATCTGCTTATTCTCTCATCCACCAAAGATGTGTTTTGGTTTAACACAAGGACATTCCTAGCTCAGTTTATAGCGAATTGCTACAAACAAGCTAAAGCGAAAGCAAACTAAGCTAAACAGTTACAGTACTGACTGTTTGTCATTCTTTCCAAACTTCACTCACTATTTTGATGTTAGAAATATGATTTATTTTATTAACATTTTAGATTTGTTTCAAGTGAGATATTACTGACTTTGCGGTTATAAATACTGTTGCTGCTCCAGATTTAGTTATAACAAATGTATTTTTTTAAATAATATATTTACTTAAAGGTAATTATTACTACAATTATACAATCCTAATGATAACTATCCCAACTCGTCAGAAAATCTCTGGCCCATCTCAAGCCCTGGTTTTAAAATCTGGCCCAATGGAATTTGTAATTGAATAGCCCTGCAATACATTGTATACATTATATTATATGGTGAAATAATTAAATCCTCAACGCAGCCTCAGTTTTCTCATAGGTCTATGATGAAAACAAAGCAAACTGACAACTAGTTTTACTTTTAGCTGGCCGAGAATTAGAAAATCAATCTCAGAGATATAAAGCAGCATGGAAAAATACTGGAGGTCTGGCATGATGTCCTCTGAGCAGCTCAAAATTCCTGCGCTTCCGGTCAAATGAAAAGAATCATCCATCGAGAAGAAAAGGCAAAGGCAAGCACATTTCAACAACAAGGCAAATCAAAGTGCTTTACATAAGACAGAAAGACATTAAGAAAATATATTAACCGTTTCTGCAGGCTAAGATTTACAGTATTCTGATGACTCTGATGATATTTATAAGCAGAAATATACACGGAGGGCATACTTTCAGACCCAGAGTCTAACCTCTTTTAAACCCCAGTCACCTAACCTAACGTAAATGTTCCAGTCACTTTGAAGTTAGGGAAACCACAATGAGTTGCCCAAATAAGATAATTTTGCTCAGCTGATGACAAATCCATTCTCCACTCGTGTGTGTTGCAGAGAACTGTACCAACTACAAGGTCCAGTTTGAGAGGGTTTACTCTGTTCCTGGGGATATGGCTATGCTGAATAGCATGCTGGTGTTTCCAGATGTCTTCAACTTCACAGCTGCCCCTTACAACATCACCTGGTACGACTCAAAGACGGGCGACGAAATGAGAAACCAGACTGGTCGAATCCTGGTTTACGGGGATACTCTGTGGTTTCTTAACATGACACTGGACGATGACGGGGAATATGTGAGCATACTGAGGTATGGTAGCATCAGCGAAAATAGAAATATGGGGGGGGGGGGGCAATTTATACTTCTGCATTGAGTGGCGTTCACTCTTCTAGACTTTCCAAATGTTATTGGATCTTTCACTATGTACGTCTATGGATAAATTTGGGGAGGTGTGCATGAGGCTATGGCGTAGGCTGGACTGCAGCGCAGGGGGCGCAACATAGTTTTCATATCGCCAGCAGGCATTTAAATGCCGTTGTAAATGGCAGCTGATGTTTGTGAACGCTACTCTGTGCACCACTATATGTCTGACTGAATGTTGTCCTGTACAGCGACAACAAAGCCAGTGTGTGTTTGTTTACCTTTACCTACTACACCAGTGTAATGGAAGGAAATAAAGTTATTGGCAGCACTTCATGTAGTGCATTGCAGTTACAAATAATCACCCACAAATTTTCCAAAGGGGAAGATTGCCATCTCCCCCATTAAAACAACATCTCTAGGCAGGATAGATCCATACTTTCATGTTGTTTATGCCAAATTATGACCCTACCATCTGAATGTCACAGCTGAAATCGAAACTCAGACCAGGCAATTTTTTCCAGTCTTCCACTGCCCAGTTTTGGTAAGCTTGTGTGAATTGTAGTCTCAGGTTCCTGTTCTTAGCTGACAGGAGTTGCACCCGGTGTGGTCTTCTGCTTCTGTAGCCCGTCTGCTTCAAGGTTTGATCTGTTTCAATTCTCTGTTGTGTGTGAAAATCCCAGTAGATCAGCAGTTTCTGAAATACTCAGACCAGCCCGTCTGGCACCAACAACCATGCCATGTTCAAAGTGACTTAAAACCCCTTTCTTTCTCATTCTCATGCTCAATTTGAACTTCAGCCAGTTGTCTTGACCACGTCTACATGCCTAAATGCATTGAGTTGCTGACATGTGATTGGTGCTAACAAGAACTGAACAGGTGTACCTAATAAAGTAACCAGTGAGTGTATATTTCCACTGTTTCTTACAGAATGCAAGCTCCTGGTTCAACTGTTCTTTGCTGGAAGATGAACAAACAATATCATTATATTATTATAATTATTTTTCAATTTCAACAGAACTCCCTCTCGCTGCTACAGGCAGGCCACCAAGCTGGTAGTGGAACTGCCAAGAACTGGAGAGTGTGGTAGGCCAAGGAAAGCTCACCAAATACTCATAGAGGGAGTCGTTGACAAACTGTCCTGCCCTCTAAATAGCTATATCAAGACACTGGAAAGCTACAACATCACTTCCTCCATCAAGTGGTACAGAGTGAGTTATGGGAAAGTCTTGCTGAGCTCTGATATAAAATATTCATTAAACTATTGTGGTTACTCCCGCTGTTGTAGAGTAGTTTTGCTTGGCCAGATCTATACAGACAATGTGGGGGAAACTGTGTCACTGGGGGTTTGTGTCAATACAATATACACTAGATCAGTGAAGGCAATGTTGAGGCAAAATACTTCACCATACAAAGTAGGTATGAAAAATCATCTAACATAGATTCAAGTTGCTTTAATACAAATGTTGGTGAACTACTATCTACTGTCACTCTTTCAAATAGCTCTGTTTTTGTAGGAAACATCCTTTATTTTGATTTTCAGTAGGTGGCGTTTTCGTTATCTGTTCAGCATGGTGGCCATCGCTCCTCATGCTATCTACCTACTTCTTTTGTTCATTACAGAGGAATAAAATTAACTTTATTTTAACAGGATATGAATCAGTGGATTATTACTATACCAATCCGTGAGAGTTGTTGCTGAAAGTAGGGGAAGTGTAATGGGTTTCTTCAGAACAGTAAAGCAGTAGGTCTGAATTGGACGCGTCTAACATCCTGAAGGGCTGACCGGAATGCTTTAAAGTTAATAATATTTGATTACTATTTCTTATTTCATTGGATATTTGGGGTTTTGGGATAATGCATTATCATTTAAAAATGAAAAGAATTCAATAAATGCATGATGTTTCAAAGTCAGTCATTAATCGTGTTAATAATCATGATCTCAATTATGACCAAAGTATCCCTAACTCAAGTTAACACTGAAATTCAATGGTAGATGCAGGGACTTAAGCCAACAATGACTAAGAAAAAGTAAAAATAATATATACTTTGTTAAGCTATGAGTAGAGGAAATAAAGTCTACTAGCTGCTAGGCTAATTTATGCAGTGTAAAATGCCATATGCTGAACCTTGAGCGTTGTATCCCCCCCATCCCCAGTCAAAGCTTGGCATATTTTCTCACTTTAGTTCAAAGTCGGTATTGGTAATTGAGACAGATCTACTTCTCAGACGAAATCTGGGTATTCTGTTGAAATAAATAGGATCCAGGGTGATCCAGAACCCTCCTTCTCTGCTCACCAGGCTACTCCTTGAATCATTTTTGTAATTGTCATTATAAAAAGGTTGACGATTTGGTTTCTTATCATCATCATCTAGGGTTGTGACCCCATAGTGGATGGGACAGGCAGGTACACCTACAGGGAAACGAGCAAACTGCAGATTGACAAGGTGGAACAAAAAGACAACAGCTCATTCACCTGTACCTTGACCTTTACTCTTGGTGGTATCACAGGATCCATATCAGAGACCATTGGCACATTGCTTAAAGGTGAGAACGGAAATAATAAAATACATAAATTACACACAAATTACCACTAGTGAGCACCCCAAATAAAAGATTACAGCATGCTGACAAGAGGTGGAAATTATACCCATGACCTGAAACTACAAGGGCACTTGGAGAGCGCAGACCTCCGCCAAGACTAACAGTCCAACAGTTCTAAAACCATTAGAATTATAGTATTTCAAACAAGAGTGTTCACATTACCTTCACTTAACCTGGTTCTCCACCACAGCCTCTCTGCTATGCTTTTTTAAGGGATCTGCATGATTCACATGGATCACATTATTTTAGGTTGGAAAATCTAGAATTCCAAATTAATCTGGGAAAATCACTTCCCTAATTGCTTCTTTTTTTTGCCATGTTGAAGCTATTCATCATAGCATATTCATCATCTCATTTAACAAAAGACATCCATGGCCATGTATTACCGAGACATGGGGTATACGGATATGGATGTAAGGGACAGACATGTCATAAGTCTCGACACCGGAGTCCCTCTTATCCCCAAAGCCTTCATTGAGTCTGTTGTAATCAAGAGTGCCTTTTGACAGGGCTTAAGCCCTTGTCACTTCTGCTGGGTTGGACCCTAGCCAGTGCTTGGAACTGGGATTGGCAGAGCTGAAACTTCTGAGATGGGAAAGTGCCCAATTGTTAGGATTCTACCTTGGAAGATGCTACACCCTTCAGTAGTCAAACAAATTGCACCAAAAACATGACCTCCTTGGCAGGTGACAAGAGTGTCAGGAATTGCAAAGAGAGCTAGTAACTCATTGGTATACAAATATTTATGTTCATGATTAGACAACATCAACCTCTGTTACTGTATTTCATCTTCCCTTTATTTTCAGTGGAGTACACTTTGGTTCCAGAAGTGCATGAACCAGCCAATGAAATACTCAAGGCACAGATGGGTGAGTTTCTGTTGGCAACATATTCTGACGAATATGATTTAATCTGTTTAAGAAACACTATTTGGAAATATTTAGTAACATTAATGTAAATAAGAAATTGTTTTGTCAATATAATTTGTTACTGTTTGTGCATGTATTTAGGGTCCAATTTCAGCAAGCCGTGCCGAGTGTTTCTGCCGAGTGTTGGGAAGGACTGGGTGCATGTCATTTGGGCTGTAAGAGTCAATCTGATTAGTACCAACCCCTCTGATCGCATCTACACATCAGAACAACGGTCAGAACACTTCCCTTTGCTTTTAGTTTCGTTTTATCTGCTTCTTTTGGGGTATTACAAAGAAATATGAAAGTTTAAACGAGGTGCCTGAGTTAATACAAATCAAAGACATAAAACACAGCTTTCTTGGGATATAAATATATAGAACTATAAGCCCCCAACATTGTAAACATCATAAGTTAACTTTTGTCTGCACAAAGATTTTCTTTACAAGAGGTAAGAAATACCTCTGTATTGATATTTTAATTTAGTCTTAGTTTTCATTTCTTCCAATCCCATGTGGAGATTTTCCAAGTGGGAGCATACATTTTTTAAACAATGCTTAGCTTAGAGACTGAAAAATACCTGTTGTGCTGCAGAGTTGATATAAATTCTCTGAGTTCCTTATTGTAATATTTTTCAGATTACATGTAGTTGTTTGATTAATGAATGAGACTAGTACAACGGGCACTTAAAGAGGTAGAATATATTTGTAAAAACTGCTCAAACCAAGCACACTAGCGTCACATTTCCTTGCATTACATATCTGTCCTCACCAGCAATTGGCGCCAGGATGTTCCTCGTAAAGGTGTGTGGTATGAGAAACTGCTGATTATTTCTGAGCTGAGGGAAGAGGATTTCCACATCAACTACACTTGCCAAGTGTACAGTGACAGGGGCTTTCCTCAGGGAAATTTTACCCTGCTACCAGCATGTCAGAGTAAGCCTGCCAAATGAACACTTGTTGTCTTTTTATTTTTCATAAATGTGATTTTGGGCTGTCAAGACGTGTCTGTTAACCTTTTTGGAGGAGCTGTTCTATTTTCTAGAGACCAAGTTAAAACCTCACATTATTTTTTTCATATTAAGAAACTAATGTCTTCAGCTCTAGTGACGACATCTTGTCCCATACACTGTATGGCACTTTATGTATGACGGCATGTCCCCACTTAAAATGGTAAATGGACTGCACAGTCACTCCTCCTCCCAGCCTCAACTTCCTCCCACTGTACAAAATGATGCGAATTTATAAAAAAAGAAAAATGATGCGGACACGGGCACAGCCATCTTGCACTCTTGAGGTCATTTGGAGCCAGAGTCTGCGGTAAAGAGGTCGTGCTCATCCACCTTTTTATTTCATTAAGTAACTAATTAAAACTAGGGATGCACCGAATGTTCGGCCGCCAAAATTAATTGGCCGAAAATAGAAAAAAAAAAAAAAAAAGAAAAAAAAAAGCACTTTTGGAGTTTGGCCTAATACGTCAAAAGACCGAATAAATTTAAACGAACAATTATGTTGACGTCAGCATTGTGGAAGCATTTTAAAGTGTCTGAGAAAGATGCTAAAAATCGCTGTTTGCAGACACTTTTCTGCTGAACTGTCTCGCAGCACATCCACTCCATCTTTGGCTGACTTCTTAGAAAAGGCAACAAACGGTCTGACCAGCTTTGAGTGTTTCTGTCACTTGTTTGTGAGAAGGCGATTTGTGACTTTGTCCTGTCATTTTCTCTCTTTACAAAGACAAGTGTCGCAGTACGAGAGTCTGACCTGAAGAGAGGCTGTGAAGTCTTCATGTTACACAATACGAGATCCACATACAACATTTATCAAATTTGGTCAGACTTGATGAATTTAGCGTGAGGATACATATGTGACAACGTCCGGTTTGTCAGGATGTGTCTATACAGGATGTAAATAAGATGAATTGGATTATATTCACAGAAAGTATTAAACATATTACATGTGTACATGAAGAGTAAATGGACACATATAATTTACTTTACCAGACCCTCTTGGGCCTCGGACCCACCCACCAAAGTCTCTCCAAACCCTGTGGGAAACACTGAATAAAAAGCACATTTTGACTATTTAATTTATGCAATATTAAAAAAAATGGCAAAATAAATGGAAAAAATGTGAATGTACTTGTTCGGTATTCAGCAATTTTTTTTATTTTAATTTTTTAATTTTTTAATTATTATTTTTTTAATTTCGGTTTCGGCTTTGTCCAAGAATTTTCATTTCGGTGCATCCCTTTTTAAAACCAAACTTATCAAACAAATCAACACTTGAAAATACATCACTTTGATTAGAACTACCTCAACCAGCAGAAACCAAGAGTACAAAGACTTCATATTAGTCCCAGCCAATAAGTTTTGGCTTCACTGTTGGGTGGCTTTATATACAGCGTTTGGTCTGTCTTGGTAAAACGTGGCCAGTAGAGGGCGTAAATTCATGTGTTTGGGGAGTGAAGATGGCTGAGCTAGAGATGTGCACTAATGCAAAAAAATAAAATAAAATACAAAAAATTTAATGAGACATCATCAGATAACAAGATAACACTGTATCCACTTCTCTTAACACATCAATGGTGGAGAGGCAGCCTAAGTTTCTAAGTCTGGTATATGTGATGTTCATCTCTACAGATCCCAACATCATACTTCACATTACATTTGCTCTTGGTGGCGTGATGGTCCTCTTTATCCTCAGTGTCACCATCTACTACCTTTTTAAGGTTGACATTGTGCTGTGGTTCAGGAGAGTGTTTCCAGTCTTCTATACAAATAAAGGTAATCTTTCACATCTGCTGTTTAATTAGTAATGTGCTCGTTATCACATACAGTACAAATGTAATATTAAAGTCACCTCACAAAAAAAAAATATTCTAACACCACTCTGAGATGGAAAATCTGCGATGATGATGCTTATATATAGTACCCCCCCCCCCCCCCACACACACACACACACACACACACATCACAACCCACAGAACCTTAAGCTCTACTTTACACCTGACCGCATGTGTCAACAGTGAGAGCAAACAAAGGAAATAAACTAACCACCAAGCTGCCTGCAGAATTTCTGAGGAAATGTCATCTGATGATTATGCAACAGAATAACCTTTTACCATTCAGGATGGTACTGTATGTTGACAATTATGTTAACAAGCATTTTCAAAATCGGAATAATGAGTAATGACATTAAGACAAATAAATTAAAGAAACGAAAGAGAAAAGAAAGAGCTGGGCAGAATATTGAATCTACTTAATGAGATCAGATATGTTTTTGCATGATTTGTAAAAAAAAAAAAAAATCTATGTTCTGAATTGAAAATAGTTTATTTTCAGTCTAAGAGTAGCATTGATGATAGTTTGCCATTAGCACCGTCTGGTAAGCCACTGTAGACAATGAACAGTGTAGAGGGGGGCAATCTAACGATTTTAGATCGAGATTGTGATCTAAGCTGTCTACAATCTACTTTTGAGGTGAATCATAGAGACTGTGTGATATTAAACATCCTCTTACTTCTCTTACTAGATGGCTATGCTGATTGGATGAATTATTGTTAGTGTTATTAGTGTTAAGCGCGTGATAAGTGTTATTATATGATTATGTTGTCTTTTGGTTTACAACTTCAACACAATTCAACTCACCATTTTCAAACCTTTGCAGTATATTTAATGCAATATTGTGTTTAATGGTGCAAATTGAAAAATTCATAGTCTATTTTAAGTCTTGCTAATTGTGGGCTGTGATTGAAATATAGATTGTGATTTAATTTGTTGGCCAGATTTTCCACCCCTAGAAAAGTGTGCAGATTCTACTCGGCTCAGTCTGTCTCTTCCTGGCAGGTAGCAAACTGTAGCTAGCCAGCTGCCTGCAGATACCAGGCTGATGTCTTTTCAGGAAACAAAAACAGAGCAGATCAATTAGTGAGCAGACTCTCTATTGGAATATATATATATATAAGTGGATGTTTGTCTTTAGTTATAGTAGCGTGTACTGACAGTCCATAGCTGCAAAGTATATTTTTATGTGTCAAAGACAGCCATGTGGTGCTGTTTATTATGAAATATGTTTCAAGCAAGTTTTAGTCTTGTTCCATTTTGAAGCAAAGAAAAAAAAAAATAACTTAAAATCATGAATCAGTCCCAAGCTTGAAAAAAATAAAAAAATTTGGATTTTACATGATATAGAAGACTTCTTGCTTGCAAGAATAAAACACTGTGCGCAAACTTATTAGACTCATCTTAAGTGACTTCGGATTTAATAAATTTTGCGGGACAACATGCATCACAATACTTCTAAGCACTTCTGTCATTTGGTACACTTGAGGTTGAATGCCATTTATTTCATCTGAGCAAAACAACCACCACTGAAAATCCTCTTAATGAGCTTTTCCTTTTTCCCCATGTCAGAATTGGATGGGAGGCTGTATGATGCCTATGTGGCATACCCACAGCCCTGTTCAATCGGATTCAGCAAGGAAGTGGAGACATTTGCCCTTCACACACTGCCTCAAGTGTTGGAAAATGCTTGCGGCTACAAACTCTTCATAGCAGGCCGTGACTGTCGGCCCGGGCAGGGTAAGTCTTTTGCATAGCAGAGATAGCACTGTGGTATTATTTGCCTCAGATATATGGGTGGGACAAGTGTCCATTGTAGAATAAACGACATCTGTTTTTTTACTGCAACTCTGCTCTGAAACAATCTTTTAAGCTTCAGCGTTGATGTAGAGGACCTTTTCTTAGGTTGTCACTTCTAATATTATATTTTCAGTCACAACCAAGTAAATGTCTGGTTCTTTACAAAAGCAATTATCATATGCTTTATTTATCATAGTAGTGACTGAAGGGAATGTTGGCTTTGGTTAAGTGTTAGTGATATATTGTCACTTACAGTGCAGGCTGCTATACACGATACTACATAGGTACAAGGGAAGTTAATTTGTCACATGACAACAGGTTGTAAAGTGAAAATGCCTTGTTGATGTCAGAGGAGAATGGGCAGACTGGTTCGAGATGACAGAAGTAAGTAAGTAAGTATAAATTGAGCATTGTTTGAAACCTGGCCGATGATGGCGGTGTCGGGGGGGGGGGGGGGGGGGGGCTCCAGTGTTGAGGACTAGAGTGGAGGAGGTGTGTCTGCCACTCCAAACTGACTGGGGTCTGTTTGTGAGAAAGTCCGATATCCAGTTGCAAAGTGTTGTATTTAAACCCAGAGTGCTAATTTTCCCAATATTCCTGTAGTTCAGTTTCACGGGGGAGATTGTACTGAATAACTGTTTTTTGTTACACAATAATCTAGTAAACAATGGCTGGCCAATTGACTTTGTTGTAACCCTCTTGGCTTGTGACCCCTCAAAACAAAGCAGTTTCTACTTGTGAACCCTCGTTACAGGTTGCTATGTTATGCTCATGTTTTTCTAACATTAACGCTACGGTGTCTCTCCTCTGTTTCCTCCCTGCAGCCATAGTGGACTCAGTGGAAGAGAATATACAAGCCAGTCACCGCCTCCTTCTGCTCTACACCGCCACCACTTTCACCAGCAAAGGACACACAAGCAGCCCTCGCAATAACAAAATATCTAAGAGCAGTGAGAGCACCGAAAGCAAGACCAGAGACAGCAGCAGCAGCAGCATGAGTTTTGATGGTAGTGAAGAAGTTTATTCAGACACAAGGCAGCAGTTGGAGTGCGTGGCAGCAATGCACAGAGCGCTGCTGGAGGAATCTCTCAAGGTGAGAAAACAAACTCTTTCATTCAGATTCTTGACGGCAGAAAGTTTTCTCTCTACAAAGACAGCTGTCGTGGAGCTACACATATTTAACATCACTATTAAATTTAGCTCTAGGCCAACCTTAGCTGCATTAAGTCGACACTCTTGATTTAATAAAGAAATAGTGATGTTATGATTAATGTAGTTAAAATTTCTTAGTCACACACACACACACACACACACACACACACTCGAAAGGAAACCCTGATTGTAATTTGAGCGCTGCTTTCCAGGTGGTTCTGGTTGAGTTGGAAGAAGTCACCCCGGCTCAGCTGGCTCTCTTCCCAGAGTCAGTGCGTCACCTGAGGAAGAAGCAGGGCGCCGTGTGTTGGTGGAAGAACCGTAGGACGAGTAAGATGACCTGTATGAAGAGGAGAGAGGACGAGGAGAAAGGTGGACAGGACACACAGTTGTCGCCATCCATCTCCCCTTCCTCCAGGTTTTGGAAGGAGATGAGGTATCATATGCCGGTGAGGGGCAAGAGGGTGGTGTACCCCCGAGAAAACTGCCCTGCTGGACTTATGATGGAGATGGATTATGATGTGTGTTAGGCATGGGACAGTTACCGGTTTCAAGGTATCCCACGGTATTAAAAAAATCCAGGTTACAAAACCACTAAAATTTTCTGTTATAACGTTGGTGCGGTATGAGCTGGGGGATTTTTACGTCTCGTCAAGGATGGAAAGTGCAGGAATCCCACAGGTTGTGTGCAGCGTACACTCCTCTCCGGTTGGTGCAAACTCTCAGTCACCTGTATGTAGGATGGCCGGAGGAGGGGAACAACCAGGGTCCGAAATTAACTTTTTGGCTCACCTCCCACGGGGACTGGTAGATGAAAAAATCCACCAGCCAAGCATATTTTTTACCGGCCAAATCACATATACATTAATTTCAGTACATTTAATTGATATGGTATTTTTAATGAATGAGTGTACATGGAAGTCAAAACAGAGCAACAAATAGTAAGACATGGAAGAGGTGGAACTAGCGCTCATAACAGTACATTTGAAGGTTTTGTAAAACTATCAGAACTTAAACCTCATAGTCATCCGACGACTCACTCTCTACCGCAATTACACTTTTTGCATGGTCCATGAATTCTGGCCTCCTACTCCTAACAGAGTTTTGGTGCCACAGCATCACAGCTTTGCTTGGATCATACTCCCTGATCTCTGGAGAGGACAGCTGGACCATAAGGAGATCTGACAATGTATCAGACTAAAAAAAAAAAACAGCCAGGGCGGCCAGGACAGGACGTGAAAACAGGACATGTCCTGGGAAAACAGGACTGATGGTCACCCTACCATAGCTTCATATAAAATGTTAGTCTAGCAAACATTACAGGAGGAAAAACAGTTTCACTTACTCGCACATCCACTCGAAGTCAGAAAGTGGCCTGGCCTTCTTGCCAATGGCATGTACAGTCCTAAACAGTAGCTTCATCTTCTTGCTGGTCTGCTCTGACATTGCCATTAGCGCTGTCACAGAAGTTTTCGAGAGTAGAGGCTCAGATTGAGCCAGAGACACAGACACGCAGGCAATGTGACACTTACTGTGTTCATGGTCACGAATGTTCTCAAGTTTCATCGTTTTATTTCCGATGACAAATTAGTTGTTTCTGTTTTTATCTTTAGCATACTGGCGACACACAGAACAACTCATCACGACCGCGTCAGAATCATATTGTAGCCAGCCTCTTGAAACTCCTTTCTCTCCAAACCTCCATTTCTCACAAAACTTTCTTTTTTATGTAATTCGTCCCCCTTTTCGTCTGTGGGTCTTCGTTTTAAAGGTTGGCTCACTCCTGGTAAATGTCGCCACATAACAGCTAATAAGCGGCAGCTAGCTGCAGATCGGTGACTTTGCAGTTCGTACCGCGCTTTCTCCTTTCCACAAGCACTCGCGTGGCCAACGTTGCTATGCAACCATGAACAGAGGCGCGCTTGGAAAAACGGGCGGCCGGGAGCGTCTCAGTGTAAGAGTGTAAGTGAATGTCGCGATATTACTGATCATGGAAAGATTTTGCAGCGGTGCTGATGAATACATTGTAGGGAAAACACTGATTATTACATTACTATTTTGGTATGAACATTCACCCGCCAGTGTGGCGGATAGCCTTTTGAAATTTACTCGCCAAACAGAAAATCTACCCGCATTTGGCGCTTGGCGGGTGTTAATTTCGGACCCTGGGAACAACTGAACATTTTTCCCCGCCACTTCCTCTACAAGACGAAGCCTTCTGTATGATATGCTGTCAAATATGATATCCCATTTATGGGAGCAATATCTTGAAATGAACATTTGCAACAACCTAAGACAGTTAGCGTGTTTAGCACTAGTGAAAGAAATACTATTTGCTTGATAGCAAGGCAGATAACATGGCTAATTAGCAAATCAGCTGGTTTCACCCCTCACGTTGCTTTAAGGAGCGGAGAGGGCCGAGTGATTTTCAGCAATTTAGTACAATAATTTAATTTGGCTGGTATAACGTTTATACTTTGTCTTCCACCATTGTGTCCATCTGGTACAAATCATGACAATAAGAGAGTTTCTTACCCAGAGAGTTGACATTTAAAATGAACACATTTTAGAACAGTAATTGCAATACCGCAATACCATGAAACCATGATATATGAAGGTTTATCATACCGTGACAATCTCATACCGGTCCACGCTAATATTTGTCAACTGTTTGAACATGCAAATGTATAAATAAGTTAAAAAAATGTATTTGTACAGTATTATAATAAGTCAAGCAGTAAACAGTGCTTTTCCTTTGAAATACTGTCTTATTTATTGTTACTGAACAACAGATGAACTCAAAAAACCAAGGGAGGGAAAAGGTTATTAGTGTGTATTAGGGGTGGGGGAAAAAAAACACAAAAAAACGATACAGCATAGTATCGCGATATTTTGAAAGGCAATATCGTATCGTAACACGAACGTCAAGTATTGATCTTTTATTATATAAATTGTACATGAGAAGTTTGTTTTTTGGCACTAATAAAATTGCTTTTTCAGTCCGCTAGAAAAAGCATTTTCCTTTGTGGACACAATTTAAAGTTGGGAAAAAGATAAAATATGTTTAAAATCGCAATAATATCGTATCGTGACATAAGTATCGTGATAATATCATATCGTAGGGCCTCTGGTGATTCCCACCCCTCGTGCGTATGCAGATTCAGCATCATTAATCTTTATTAAATGTTATTCAGCAATGTGTGCTGACAGTTTCTCATAATTATTTTTTTAATTTCACGCAGAACCATTTTACATATTTTTTTGTTCTTAGCAGCATGCAATAGCCTTCAAATTAGTACTGACTGTAGACTGCCATGGGACACAAATTGTACACCCCATATTGTATATGTATATTCAGTGTTAAAGACACTCTGGGTAACGGTACAGATTTCAAACTGGATATGTTCCCTGAAGACAGTATTTGTATAAACGCTAGATTATTATGTCAATAAACTGGAAATTTGCAAAGGAATATCCACTGTGCCTGTGTCCTATAACGTAATAGATCTGTGTGTTTCTTTGCAAAAATCCTAAACTGGGTCACCAAATATACCTGCGCAGGATTCCCAAGTAAAGTCTATGCCCCCGTGTCCACCAAAGCGTTTTTTCCTGACGCCGGCGTCTCTCTTTATTGCAGTGGGAGCGCCGCGTTTTTCCAAACTGGTAAACACGGCAGGAACGCGACTGGGCGCTGAGCGTCTTTTCCGCGCTGGGAGCTGAGCGCTGAGTGTCCTTTTGTGTGTGGGTTTTTTTTGTTTGTTTTTTTTTTACAGTCGCCGAGAGTTGAAAAATGTTCAACTTTGGGGAAAAACGCTGCGCTCGTCACTGTCACTTTTTACCCAGCCGTCCTTTGCAGGAGGGGCGGGACAAACACCGAGCACATCCGATCTTGAACGAAACGATGTGCCTACTCGCCGAGGTGTTTCCTCAATCGCAAAATGAACCCACGTACGGACAGTCTGTACTCTCATGTTTCAGCTTTCTCTTCATGCAGAGCAAAGGCCAGAGCAAGCAGGCCTACGTACTTTGTGGTGACATTTTTACATTCAGTAAAATTAAGTAGGCTACCCTACTTGCTGCGCCTCGTCACGCTCCTGGCGTTGTACCAGCATGGAAACACGCGGCGCTCCCATTGCAATGAATTGAAAAAGACGCTGGCGTTAGAAAAAAACGCTTTGGTGGACACGGGCTCTGAGCAGAACACCACAAAGCTTTGTGTGTGTGTGTGTATTTTCAGTCTTTCCAGCAGGAAACAGCTTTGCCTGACTGTGTGTGTGTGTGTGTGTGAGTGTTAGTGTGAGAGAGAGTGTGAGAACTCACCTTGATGCGTCTGAGAAAATCAAAACATGCACCTCAGCTCAGAACTACATAGAGTAAACAAAAACAAAGTCAGTCAGGCAAAGCTGTTTCAGAGAAGGCTTTTCCTACAAGAGCTGGGAAATTCTCTGGTCTCTGCAGCAATATTGAGGAGAGAGCACCTCCCTCGCGCACCAGTTGCTGCTGCACTGGTGAGAGAGATTCAGTCTCCTGCAGCTGTCCCTCCAAACACAAATCTACAGACACCAGCAGCTCAGAAGGGAAGAGGGGAACATGCAAGTGCTGTACAGGACAAAAAAAAAAAACAGTCAGCACTTGCATCCGTTGTGGTGGACACACTTGCAAAGAGCACCAAGTGATATGCTGGAAGTCCTGCTGGAAAGACTGAAAATACACACACAGAGTTTGTGGTTTGTTCAATTGTTTAGTTCTTCATCCATCCTCAACTGTTGAACCATTGTTCAGTTTATTTGAAGTTGTTGTTGCATTTTGGTTCATAATAAAGTGTTCATATATCTGATGCAGATGCTTAGTGGGGTTTTTTTGTTTGTTTTGTTTTTCTGCACAGGCCTATAAAGGGTTAATGGTGCCACCTGGTTATCAACAGTAAAAATTACAATTTTTACCTCTTCCCAACAGGGAAAACCACCAACAATCAAAAATGCATGATTATCTGGTGTCATGGCTTTGCAATAAAAAAATGTTATAATGTAAGTTAATGGGGCAAAAACAGCCACGAACAGTAAATGAGGGAGAAAAAGTTAAAATCTGATGCTGCACAAAAAATAACAATGCATCAAAAACAATGTTGTTTCTAATCTTTGACATGTCCAAGACTGTGAAAAAAGGTAAAAAAAACTCCAGTCCATAATTACATTTTATATTGAAGTCATTTTGTGTTGTTTTTTTCCCCAAATCAGTGACATCATTTATAAATTTGGCAATTAAGGAGTTAAAATCCTGTTTTAAAAAAAAAATAGTAGTTTTGATAAGGACTGAGGTTTATTATTAGATTTATGCAAAAAAAAAATTCCGATACATTTTTACAGTTTAAAGTAGTGGCTGTTTTCAGCCACGAACATAACGAAAGGGTAGTGAATTTGCCCACAGTGTACTGTTGAGTTTTTGAAAATTTTCCAAGCATTTTCCCAAAATATGTGTCAAAATACGATTTGTCACCAAAAATCATTCCATTTGCTGAAACACAGAAAAAGTTATGGCCAAATTAAGACTCAAAAATACCCTCTAGTGGCTGAAAACAGCCACAACAGCACATAAAACATACTTTTATAGGAGAGCCTTTCCCGATCTTATTTATCATAAACGTGTATTTTAGTCTTTTCAATGTTTTCTTGCTTTTATCTTGTATTGTTTTTGTATTATTGTCTTTACACTTGTTAAAGCACTTTGTATCTTGTTTTTGAAAAGTGCTCTACAAATAAAGATTATTATTATTATTATTATTATAAGAGTGGGAAACACTGCAGTGGTTCCAGTGATTTAGCATGTTTTATCCCATAACCTTTAAATTCCATACTTATCAGTGAAGTACTGGCAATAACCTGTCAGTTGGGGAGGTGATGGGGCAGTAGATAAGATGCATGCCTTGGTGTGAGAGACCCGGGTTCAACTCCCCACTGTGACACATCCATCATTGTGTCCCTGAGTAAGACACTTAACCACCAGTTGCTCCAGAGGCGTGTGACCTCTGACATGTATAGTCATTTGGATAAAAGCGTCATTTTGGATAAAAGCGTCAGCTAAAATGTAATGTAAAAAAGTATTTCCCCCAAGCAATCCAATTATTAAACTCAAATTCATCCTCAGCACTGCTCCACTGAATAGTCAGAGACGTTTTAGAGGAGACACGCCACTCAATCACATCCTCAATCTATGGGGAAAGCCTGTAACGCCAAAGATGGCGTTTATCCCGCCCCTCCCGCTAAAAAGCCAAATGTCTGCTTTAATCAGTCAAAGGGGGAAACATATTTTAGCCAATTGTGTGGTTCAATGGATCGTAAGGTTCTGTTATTCTTCTACTGCGTCAAACATGCGCATTAGAAGTATGACTGGTTGGGAAAAATGCTTTTTAAACTTTATTTTGGGGCGAAGTTGTCTTAAATTTTTTTTTATTAGATTTTACTGGTGATTCTATCAATGTAGTTTTTATGTCCCCAGTGACCAGTGAAAGTGCAGATCTGGCTCTCTCTCCGTTCATTCAGATAGGAGCCTGGCCTCGTTAGTCTAAAATAGCTGCCCAGAGGTGTGCCGAGTGGCATGACTTGCCTAAAAGGACTTTGATATAGTTTATTTCCATCTTTTTATGACTGCTTTCATATACTATTATCTGCTACGTAGCAGAAGGGAGTCACAAACTTAATTTCACTTTACAACCTGTTGTATGTGACAAACAAACCTACCTTGAACCACGTACCTTGTTTAACCTTGCGTTAAAAAGGCTACTGTTTGGCAGCTGTCTCAGTAAAGATTTTCCGTTTTCAGATACAAGTACATCTTAAAGAAATAGTATCTTCAGTCCAACAACACAAAATGTTGTGATTTTTTTGGAATTTACTCTTAAGGGTCTATTGCATTGGGACTAAGCTTGGTAGGCAAGGTATTACATTACAAAAGAATATTTAGAAATCCAGACAGTATGACTTTCAATACAGTCAAAAATAAAGACGCTCCTCTTTCTATTTAACTGATATGTAGATGCTGTGTTGAATTATGAACTGTAATGTACATCCTCAACGTAGGCAGACGCCATCACATGAAACTGCAATGCGATAACCCCCTTCACATTTCCAGCAGTTGGTAAACAACACACACACGCTTTAGCTGCAGCCTTCTTTCGCTAACTGTAACCTGGACTGCTCACCTTTTCCTCTGCTCCGCTGCATTCACCTGCTCAATCAACTGAGTGGTGGGATAACATTGCAGGACTAGTAAACTAAAGAAAAATGCCTCTGGCTCCTGTTTGGGAGTATATATTTAGTCCTGATTATAAAGGTGAACCAGGCAACAAGGATGAAGCTGCGTGCACATCATCTCCTTCAGCCCACTGATGTGTCAGTGTCCTCCCTGTTATCAAGTGTCATCAGGACCCCCGAATCTATGGAAGAAGAGTGCTTATTCCCCATCTATTCATTATTCTATGGTCCATAAGTAAAACATATGAAAACAAATACCGTGCAAGCCTAATTAGGACAATATGCAGTTGACACTTTCATATCTAGAGCAAGTGAGGTCTGGTGGCCTATATTGTAACCAAAAGCTCTAGTGAGCTGGGGGATGAATCACTGGGGCACACCCACAGCATACTGCAAAGCAAGTTGTACTTCGTATCTGTTGAGGGGAACTTTCATACAGGTGTCAGTGGAACAGTATAAAGTGATGCGAAAACAGGCGGAGGCAAAACCCAGCAGCTCTAGTAGCCCTTCAAGGAACTTTACAGTGTACTGTATGTGGTAGTGCATGGTGAGTATGGTTTATGACTTCTTTTTTTTATGACCTTTTCTGGTACTCAATACTGAATTATAACAACAGTTTTTAAATCCAGTGGATTGATTGTTGCCATAATCCTTCTAATGACAAGTTGTTGTTTTTTTTATGGTCAGCAGTTTCAATATAGATAGTTTAAGTGAGTCTCTTTACTGACATGTATATTCTGTATAAGGAAAAGTAGTACAAGCTGAGCTGCTTTTGACAGAAGTTACAGTAGCATGTACAACATTGTCTAGTTTATAACATAGTCAGCCTACTTAGACAAGTCTTCCTGGGTTTAAATAATTATGGCCCATAGAATAATGAACAGATAGGCAATATTCTTCCATAGATTCTTACGGGAAGACAGAATGATACTAGTTGCTGCGACGGATACAGACACATCGATGTGCTGAACGGAGATGATGTGCACACATCTTCATCTTGTTGGCTGGCTCACCTATATCATCGGGACTAAACCAAGGTTACTCCCAAACAGGGGAAGAGACATTTTTCTTGCCCGTATCAGTTTTATAGAAACATTAAATAGTTTTTTTGGACAGTACCCTGGTATACAGTTGCCCAAGCCTTGTATCACTTTGATAAAAAAAAAAGGGACAAGTGTCGCAAATTAACCTGGCTAACTAGGCTAAAAATGCTCTGATATGTTAGTCAAGTGAATATTCTGGGGAAGAATAACAAAAGATCTAATTAAAAGCCTGTCAAGTATTCCTTTATAATCTATTAACCATTAAATAAGTGCTACCTTTTCTAGTATTTAATAAGAAATTCATTGGTGCTGTAAAAACCATGTATCAGCATAAGGATATTGGTGTGTTTCCAAATATTACATGATAGTGATTTACTGAAAGGTATAGTAAAAAAAAAACAAACAAAAAAAAAAACATACAGTTGATTTACTGTAGGCTATTAACTTAATTGTAATTTTGTCCAGGATACAACAATATCTGAGTAAAACTCAAAGCCATAGAATACCAATCTGAAAAGTTAGAACAAAAGTACTATATGGATGATAATACAGTTGAATCAGTTCATTTACATAGAAAGAGATAGAGACTAATATTGAGATAAAGAGAGAGAGAGAGCGTGCGCGCTTTAATATCTGACATTTTCCAAATAAACACAGATCAGTGGAACTTCCTGGGACTTTACTGGGAGTGTTGCAGTCCTGCCTTCCTTGTGTTAACTGTTGCATGTCTCACTTCCCTTTACTGGAAGCTCTTCACACAATTCAGCCGTCAGGAAATGGGTCAAGAAACTTTTCTTATTGCAGAGAGTCAGTGTGGCTGAGGACATGAGCCATGTCTGAGAAATCACATGGGACTTGATTGAAATGTAACTTATCTTTTCTCACAGACAAGGACCATGGCAGCAGCAGACTGGGTCTTCTTGCTGTCTGCACTGCTATCTCTGGCATTCACAGTGGAGCATAGTGAGTACTGATCATTACAATTCTTCTGAGCCCTTACGGTCTAAGGAAAGCTTCTGCCATTAGGAATCATTTCTAAAACCAGGTTAGCCGCTTTGCAGGAAATTTATACAAAGCTTTTGTCCAACTGTTTATTTGAATTATTTGCTGACTCATGGAGCAGCATTTTCAGTTCCATCATTAAGATGGCCTTGGTTAACCCAACACAACCAACATAATTAAAAGCTGATTTTAGATATATAAAGTTCATAAGACAGGGCCATATCTGTTAAATATTAAACAAAAAGTTACAATGCAGGGCTTGTGTTGAAACCCTACCTTTCCTGTTTACAAACTGTTTAACAGACAATTGAGGAACCTTCTTGAGCATTACTTGTTAGGGGTTTCCTTCACCCAGTAAATATTAGCTGAAGGAGCTTTTAATCCAAGTATAGAGCAAACCAAACCTTAATGAGGTTGAGGCTGCTTCAGCAATCCAACATCAGTCAGTGATGATGTATTAGCCGGGTAGATTATTTATTTCTAGTAGCTTAATTCTACTTCATTCTCTACCTTCTTTTAGTGTTTACTCACTTATTGAATTG